AAGCTGTGTACAAAAATGAAAATTTGCTTAATTAAAAGCTTAATAGTTGTTAATTAAAAGCGTAATTAAGTAGTGTTCAATATTCATTAGTGTTCTAATTCAAAGCCGTGTTGTAGGCCTATTCCAATACAGCTCACACAGCGAACGGAATTCGAACACGTGGATGACTGCATAACGCATCAGTAGAATTTGAAGGGCGGATGGAATACGCCTCACCACGTGCCAAATATAGCCACACACAGTGAGGGAATATAGGGACTTGGTAGGTTTGCATTCTAAAGGCTTTTAAATAAATATGCAACATTTTGTGACGTTTTGTCGTTGCTGACGCGTAGTGCGGTGTTTTGAGAGTCACAGAAAGCAAACAGAACTTGAGTAACGCATACGGTTATTTTTTTTTAAGTTTTTCATTTCTCGATGGGTCCTTAATGTGATGGAATATACCGCATTTACCCTAGGTCCTAGTGACCATATCACAGACTTCAGTATTGGAATTTACCTTCATGTTTCTGAAAACTTGTGGCTTCACCGTGACGAAATTTCAATAGGCTAGGTACATTTTGAATCTCATGGCCCCCTATTGTGCACTTTTCTAACAATAGATAGGCACTAGCCTAATTCATCTGGTGGAAACCTCGCAGTTCCGCAAATGGCAGAAACCTCTAGTTGCGCCCTAAAAGAAGATGTTTTCCACGCTTGATATCGCTGGTGTTGGCTCGTGACCACACCATCATTAAACAGATACAATCTATTATGTTCTCAAAACTTAGCCACAACTTTGTACTATGTTGCACAATCAAAAATAATTCTTAGTTATTATGGGACAATTTAATCCCAAAAATTTTACTTGACAGTAATTTGTTATTTTTATTGACAAGTACCTAGTGTGCTCACTGCTTAGTGTAGTTACTGTAGTAGATGCCCAGAAGCCAGAGATATCTTCTTTGTCATTGTCATTTGATGGTAGGCTCACTGCTTGTGTATAAAACTTCATATTTGTCTTGCCAGTACTATGTTTTGTGGCATTCAATTGTGAAATGGATATAAAGCTGCTTTGATATTGCTAGAAATATGTTTTAGTTTTGTCTTCAATTTAGATCATTTCTATTGAAAGCCAGCAACACAAATGCTGCAACAACTTTGTAAAAATTAGGTACCCCTTATTGTGACTTTTTTCAACGTTGGTATAATAATATAATAATAGCGGTTTCAGCGTTATTAGGCCGTAGGCCTGTCGCCGATTCTTAACATCGCAGAACATTAACAGCATTTTGCGGTCTCAAACTCGCAACTCACTGCTACAATTCTGCTGTGCTTAACCGCCCGTCCTCCTTGCCGATTCTGACCAGAAACTGACGCACAGAGCTGGGATCAAACCTGCGCCTCTCTGCGCCAATCTTGGTACTCTGAACTTTAACCACTGGGCCACCCTGCCACCTGGTATGATTGCATTGTTTTAATGAAAATCCATGTTCAGTGGTCATGTACCTTTAATTATGTAAAAGTCACAAGATTGAATCTGGAATATTTGGCCCTGTCAGCATTTTCCAAGAATAAAAGAAAAAAAATATTTCACAAGTGATTTTTCAAAATTGCATGCAAACCTATGCCATATTCCCTAATAATTAAGGGGAGTGTTTGGTGCAAAAATAGGCAATTTCAAGTTTTTCATATTTTTATGCTCATCTTAAAGCTGACATTCTGACCTATCCAACAGTACCAAAACCATCTCTGTACATTGATTTATGCATTCACAACAGATTGCAAAAGTGTTATGTGTTGTAGAGCTCTTTAACATTTTCTTACGGGGGAAATTACTGGCCAGGCACATGAGAGTAAGGTCTGTGGATGCTGCACTTCTGTCAACTAGCTGTCATGCGGGATGGTGCTCATGCAGTTGTTCTCTAAATCTATGAGTGAATTCAAGCTCAAGTAACACCTTGCCTGGTATCCTTGCTACCATAAATGCCTATACATAACATGCCGCGGGCGCTTGGGTCTTTGCTGCGCTGCGCCTCTTGAACAGTTGCATATGCTCTCACTGCAAACCTGTCTCCTACTAGAGTTTTTAAGCTACAGCAATGAGAGATATACTGTTTGATTTGCAAAGAAAACTTCTAGAGATTGTTCTTAGCTTTTTTCTGTAATTTTGTTATAGTTTGGATTATATTTTGGAAAAAGGGGTGTTTTTGTTATTTTGTTATAATTTGGATTATATTTTGGGAAAAAGGGGGCAGAGGGTGGAAATCAAGAAATTTATGAAAAGAATGTGAAAAATGCCCCACACCCACAAAAGTTAGAATTTTGAAAAATATAAGACCAATTGATAGATATGGTCTTTATGCATCAAATGATATGTGTCTCAATGTTGTAGCTGGAAAATCCTAGGAGATAGATTTCTAAAGACTTCCATTTTTGGATGTTTTTTTAAGAATTTTGTTTTCTTTCATTTTTTTAAAGGGAACAAAAAATGAAACATTCCTATTTTTTGTGAATTTTCTCATTTATGGAAAAAATGTACTATTGTGCTCACCATGTCCATCTGTGACTTCACATTTTTGTTGGCAAGAAAATGCGCTCTCTGTCACTCACTGCAGTGAGTACCAAGTTATATTTTTTGGCTTTACACGTGTGTACCAAGTTTTATAAAGGGATCTGTCTGTAAATAGCCAAGAAAAAATTTCTGCCAGATGTTCTCCTTAAATGATGAAATTAGTCCCGGGCCTTTGCAAGGGGGGAAATTTATCAAGAGCACAGTCATGTTTGTCTTATTTATGGTGATTCTGCCTAAATTTTTATTTTGGCACAAGATTGGTTGTGTTTATTGGGATAGCATAGCTCCAAAATTATTATATCATTCATTGAATCAAATCTTGCTTGCAGCTGCATAGTTATATATGTTTTTGGTATGATAGAAAATTGCACTGCCCACTACTATGTCTTTCTAACAAAATTCTAAATTATATATGCATTTCAATACTTATGCCAAAATTTCTGCTATGCCCTGATGGACAATTGGACAATCCAATTTTGCAGTAATCCAAAATGGTTCTGTCCTCTAATTAATTGCATTTCGTAAATTCCATGATGTCCTTTGGCATGGATGCTTTTCCCTAATTTTTTTTGCCAGTTCAAATTTTCCCCTGAAAAAAAATACAAACTCTATTTTTGAATTTTAGATGACTTTTCAAGCTTTCCATTAATACATACCTACCGGTATTGACTTATAATTTTCTCTAGTTTCAGTTAGCCAGCTCCAATCCTAACAATTGATCAATCATCCCCACATGGCTTGGTTTCTGTTGCTCATTTTGATTGGAATTATGTAAAAGGCTCCAATTATAATGGGGCTTGGTCTGTCTTGGTCATTCACCACTGGCTTATTTAATGTTAAGGAGACCGCCCTAGCTAAAATTTGAAAATTTTGAGTTTTTTTGTTTCTTGTCTCATCTTAAAGGTTGTTTTCTTGCGCATCGAACGGTATAAGTATCGTCCCTGTACGTCGAAAAATGACTTTGTGACAGCTCCTCAAAGGGAGGCGGGTTTTAGTAATGAGAAAAAATTGGAAAAATAGAAAAAAACGCAATAAAAAAAAAACTAGATGGAAAATGAAAAAAGTGATGTTGGTCAATAGATATGGTCTTTACGAATCGATTGATACGTGTCTCGATGTTGTAGGATGATATTTGTGGGAGGAGATAGATTTTCTAAAGTACCCCTTTTTAGCCGTTTTCTATGAATTTCACGTTTTCTATCAATTTTTTCGAAAAATTCATAGGAGCAAAATGTTTTTTTTTTTTACATTTTACGTATGTATGTGAAGTTTCAAGACAATCGGATAATAACTGTAGAAGTTTTCGTATGCTAGGGCGGTCCCCTTAAATCATGATTGAGGGAAAAGCCTAATGTTGATCCATGTTTCAGTATTAGGCAATTGTGTTGTCAAATTCAGGTTTTCAGACCCAAAAATTTTCCAGTATAATTGAGGATTTATTGCCAAAACTACCTAAGCCTTCTGAATATCTTCATGTAATTCATGTAAAAGGGATGTTTTAGAAAAATTTGTTGGCAAGATCTTCTGTAGACATAGATTTTGATGCTAATTGGTTGCCAATGATCTTCAGATATTTGCTTGCCCCCTGCACCCTTGGTGATCTGTTTGCCAAGATTCTACCATGGCATCTTAGGGTTTGTGATTTCAGCATTTTCAACCAGTTATGTGCCTTACTTTACAGTCTGGGATGAAATTCCAGTTATGGAAGTTGTATTTACATGTTTTAGAAATTTCCTAGTGCATATCAGACAATATGGTCCCTGTTGTATGTATTCTTACCTTAGTTTCATACTCCCACAATCATGGCACCAATATCTAACTTGATAGCAAAGTGAACATGATCAGTTTTTGTGTCAACAAGCCAAACAAATCAACAAAAATTCACACCTGCTAAGATGAATATCAATGCTTGCACTTAAAAGCTGCTAATGTAAGATTGAGACAAGCTGTGGACAATACAGGCTGACATGCAACATTTGTTGACTTAAGTGCTTGAGAGATAGGTAATGTCTGTCTAGAGAACTCATCTTGATAGAGAGTGGTAATGCACGAATTATATTAGTGGTATAAGATGATATGTTGACCATTAGATCAAAGTAGCTCTAAGTAACAAATGTTACATGGTACATAGCATGATTGTTAGTTAGTGGGAGCGTTTTTAAGGTTCCCAACCCTTCTACAGAATTATGGCTTCCCCCCACTACTGAGGTCTGGATCACATGATCTTTCATGTGATGTTGTCCATGCAGACTTAGAGCCTAGTACTTTTCCATCAATCTCTACCATGTCAAGTCAAAATTATGTCTCAATTAAAATGAATGGAATGAGACGCCTGATTGACACCAGACATCTATGAATAAAAGTTAGATGGGAAATGATTGAACTTATTGTTTTAACATTTCTTTTGTTTAATAAATTAATATGTTATTTTATTAATCTCGAGTGTGTATCTTTGCAGTGATATTGCTTTGGCGATTAAAGTAGAAGCTGTCATTCCTAATAGTGCTAGAATTAAGTGCAGGGATTACTATCTAATATGGCTGACAATTCCTGGCAAGGAAATGGCTCTTATCAAGTACAGCACAACCACCAAGGCTATGACATGAAGAAAGATCAGAGTGCCTGGAGGAATGACATCATGCCTCAGCAAGGCTCTGATGGACACTCACGCCGCAATATTCCCCACGATGGCGAGGAGCAAGGGTGAGCAACTCGATTATTTGTGTTTCTGATCTTGGTGATAGGTTTATAGTTTTTTTCTTTGCTGGTATATAATTGTTGGTAAATCTATCATGTTACTTTCCTTAACAAGTAAGAATTCTCCACCGGCTAAGGTGACAAAGCAAGAGGCAAAAATTCTTGCTGGGCTCTGTAAATATTTAGGAAACTTATTTCAGCATTTCATTTAGTTCACGACTAAAGTGTGAATTTCACTTGGTTGATAATTTTGTTCATCTGAATTTATCACCATTGAATTTGTTTTATCATGAGAACCAGCTGAACTGTTGCACCAAACGGCTGAGTTGTAATAATGGGTTTCTGTTTACTGTTTACCACATATGAAAATGAGATTGCTTTCCTGCTGCTATTCCTATTGTTGTTGTGGTAGCTGTAAATTGTATTAGTTTCCCAATTATAGTTTGAGTTGAATCTTGTTGCAGGAAAATGTTTGTGGGTGGCTTGTCATGGGAGAGCACTCAGGACACACTGCAGCGCTATTTTGGCCAGTACGGTGAAGTCATCGACTGCGTGGTCATGAAGAACAGTGAAACTGGACGATCTCGAGGGTTTGGCTTTGTTACTTTTGCTGACCCAAGCAAAGTAGACCTTGTCCTCAAGAGCGGACCTCACGAGCTTGATGGCAGGACTGTAAGTGTTCATCTCTTGCTATGCTTCAATTGCATTACTTATTCATACATAATTTTTTCTCAGTAACTAAGTGTAGTGTTAGCAAAAAGATTTCCTAATGATGCAATGATACACATTTCATGTCATGAAATTGTTTTATCTTCAGTACCTATATTTGAATGTTGAACAATTTCTTCTCATTCTTAGGCTAGTGAGACATTTTCGGTGCCCAGAAATTAAAAAACTTTAGAATAGTTACATGACAGAATAACTTGTAAAAGAATTTATTATTCAATTCAACTAACTCAGTCAGCATAATCAATCGACATGAATTCAAAGGTGGTGTCTGGTGAGATCTCCATTTAATCTGAAATTCCATAATGTAATCTTCACTTTGTTATCATCTTGTCCTCGCATCAATGTTGATCAATGAAGCTCCTACATAACATAGATGAACTATATTTTAAAGCAATAGGATAATTTTTTTGATTGTTATTTGTAGATTAATTATTCATGTGCTTTATATTTGCTAAGCTCTATGTTTCAAGAAATGAAGTCAAAAGTGCCACCAATATGTAATGATGGATATGATAAATGGTGTATAATGATATCTTTGTTATGTCTGAATTAAACTTTTTTTCAGGCGCAACATCGTAACTTTGGTTTAAATTGTATCTCCATACCTGATAGCTGGACTTACAGTGCATATTTGTTGCCAGATTGACCCGAAGGCATGCAACCCCCGCAGCATGCAGAAACAGAAGCGTAATGGTGGCAACTGGCCCAAGGTATTCCTGGGGGGACTTCCCTCCAACCTCACCGAGACAGATCTCCGGAACTTTTTCTCGCGTTTTGGCGCCGTCATGGAAGTCGTCATCATGTTTGACCAGGAGAAGAAGAAATCCAGGGGTTGGTGATTTGTATTTGGTGCCTTATTCGTAGCATGTTGCCCCACTGTGGAAAAGGATTGACTATGATGTTCAGAGCAAGAATTTTTGCCCATTCCTCAAGAATATTATCATGTCATCCCAGTCATCCCAGCCTGAATGACTCGTATAAAATGAGATAGATTTTTCTAAACATTGGATAATCGACCAAAATGTAAGAGTAGATTTTAGATTGAAAAACACGAATAAAACAACCATTTTGATTCTTTGACAGCATTGTTTCAGTTGAAGCACTTAAATATTTTATTGGCGTAATGCCTATGTAAAAAAATTCCGCAGTCGGTAGCATCCAACAAATTGCTAATTAGGTGTTGGAAGCACAAAACAATATGTTAGCGCCCATATCTATTGTTCTGGCTAATAATCAGCAATTAATTGGTATGAATTGATCACCAAATGAATAAACATCAAAAGCAATTAGTATGATTTGTTTACAGGTTTTTCTTATACTCGATTGTAAAATAATGTTTTACTTAATTTGCAGGTTTTGGGTTCTTGTCATTTGAGAGTGACGATGCTGTTGAACGGGCAGTAGCCGAGCACTTCGTCAACATCAATGGCAAGCAAGTGAGTAGCTTCCAGTATCTAGTCTTGGCTTTATCATGGCTCGGGCAATGGATATAATCTAAACCAAGTACCGTACCAAGTATAGTTCGTGTGAAAATGTAGTCCCAGACTCTAAAAACAACCCATGGCAATAGTGGGTAGAAATAAAGCCACCTGTTAGAAATTTATCAACAATATTATTAGGCTTCCAACTTGTTCTGTAGGCATTCCAAACCTATTAGACTGCAATGAAATAAGAAAAGGGAAGGGGCCACCTGATATTTCCTTTGTACTTAAGTACATTTTGCGTTTTTAACCTGAACTGTAACTTTACGTCAATTTAAAATTTGCTGTTAACTCTCTGCCGCCTGACATGAGTAACCGGAGCAATATTGTCACAAGCCTACTTTCCAAAAAGGATACGTTCTAGTGAGCAAAAAATGACTTGCACTGATGGTTGCCGCCACGTACGACAACTTTAAAATGTTCTGTGTTGCGAACTAACGTCCTCAGGTTGCTACACTCTTTAGTTTGTGTAATTTAAGTTGAAAGTTATGTTCCCGGAGAGAGAAATACGGCGGTAAAAAGTTAATTAAATTTGCATACTGCATTTTCTCAAAATGAAATGTAAAAATAACCTACATTAGTCATGCAAAAAAAATTATAATTACATTTAGACACTTTATGTTTTTCAGACTATAACTTCACATTTGATGATAATTTTAGCATAAATCAAAGTCAAAAGTCCATAAAACCATTTTTATAAATATTAGTCATTACTACTAAAAACCTACAGTCAAGTGTGTGATATGAGGGAAGCCCAGTCACCGAGACGGTGACTGGGCTCTTTTTGACTTGACATGAGACTTGACTTTAGTCCGTTTTGTCGTGTTGCCAGTTAATATTTTGGCTCCTTAAATTGTCTCGTATGTTGGCACTCTTTACAAAAGTAGGCTTGAAAGAATATCAAACCCTCGAGATACATAATATTTTAAAGGCAAAATTCACTCATAAAATTTTGTACATGCATTGAGAGTTTTTTCCTAATGCACTGTATTTAAGCACATGTCTTGTTTATCAATTTCGAATAATTTAGCTCCGTAACTAAAAACTACTACCATTATAAGGCTGGCAGTTTTTGAGTTAAGGCACTGGTACTACTCGTGAAGTTTGCTACAAATTTCACAGTGCGATTTTTCATGATATGAAGAGAAAATTGAAAAAAAATTAGAGTCCCTTGGACTATTAGCACTAAGTGAGTACAAGTCACTCACAGATATAAGAGAACGAATCGGTGAATATTTATGGCGCTATCCTTGTTGATCACAAGTACATATTCAGAGTCGAAGCGTTCCCATATCAGAGCAAACTTGGATTTGTCTTCTGTAACGTTCATCTCCGTTTGAGATTTGAAATCTTGGAGGTTTCAAAGGAGAAAAGATATCAAATAATTAGATCAAACTAGTTTTTTTATGCTGTAAAATCTTTTTCATTATTTATTGAAATGTTGATCCTCAATGAACAGGCTCAATAACTTGGTATTAAGGGTTAACTAACGATACTTTTCTGCATGAGCAAGGAATGCGATCCTAATGCTTTTCCATGATAAGAGTCTTTTACGATTTATTGTAATCATGAAAGATTCCTGTTAGGAAAGGCAATGATCACATATTAACAGGCGTATTTCAATTCATGAATCCCAGTTAATTTTTTTCAGAGAGTATCACGTAGGATTACCTTTAGTGGGTTGATGAATCACTGGATTTACTCAATCAAAGCAGCCATATTTTTCGACTTGTCATATTAGTTCCTTATTATGTTCAATTGGTTATTATTTTTTCTGATTGAAACTTCATTGAATGTTCTTATGCTGCTGACATTATTTCATTCCTTCAACGAAGTTGAGATTTAGTAAAATGTATCTCGAAGCTATCACACAAACAAAAACTAAATTTGTAGTTGTAATTAAAAAAAAATGCATATATTGAAAAGAATCTGAAAGATGTCCCTTGAAAAAAGGCATTATTAATATTGAATTAAAAGTATCTCAAAATTATCCATTGAAATTGAAGACTGAATTTGCTGTTTTTGTTGCAGGTGGAAATAAAGAAAGCTGAGCCCCGTGACGCCAGCAAGTCCCAGGACGGTCAGGACCAATGGGGCTCTCCCCCTGACAGCCAGTGGGGCATGCCGGGCATGGGGCCTCCAGGCATGGCGGGCATCAACAATGTCAGTGCCTCTCGTATTGGCCACACGCTGCTGCTGCTGCGGCCCTTTATTGTCCTGGCCACTCTGCCGGCCTCTGAGCTCTTCTTGCGCTCCTTGTGCTCACCTCCCTCATGCTCCTTGTGCTCACTTCCCTCATGCTCCTTGTGCTCACCTCCCTCGTGCTCCTTGTGCTCACCTCCCTCGTGCTCCTTGTGCTCACCTCCCTCATGCTGCTTGTGCTCGCCTCCCTCATGCTGCTTGTGCTCACCTCCCTCATGCTGCTTGTGCTCGCCTCCCTCGTGCTCCTTGTGCTCACCTCCCTCATGCTCCTTGTGCTCACCTCCCTCATGCTCCTTGTGCTCACCTCCCTCATGCTCCTTGTGCTCACCTCCCTCATGCTCCTTGTTCTCACCTCCCTCATGCTCCTTGTGCTCACCTCCCTCGTGCTCCTTGTGCTCACCTCAGCCATACTATCCTGTGTGCTTATAATTATTCGTTCTGTAGTTTACTTAACAATTTCAGTTCGTTCTTTTTATTGTGAGAAGAAGAGTATCAGCTTTTCTAAGATGTCGGCTAAGTATATATGCTTGGCATGTTGTGTTGTCGCAACACTGAGACCTTGGCTGATGGAAATGTTCTTGCTGTTTGTACAACTCGTTTGTATTGCGCCCATCAGTTATCTTGAATCATATTGTAATCATCTAGCTCTGTTCCGTCTTCCTATCTTCATGCAAAAAATTGTATCATAAGATTCCATTTACATTACCATCAGTTCCTTCTTCATTAAGATTCATGATCTTGGTTCTGTAAATGAAACCGAACCAAATGACTAAAACTTGTCTTATTTAGTGACTCTAGTGTAGCTTCTGAGTTTGAGCGGTAAGCCAGGAGCGAGACACAGACTTCGTGACAGCTACGTATTAGTACCGGTAAAAAATTACCTGCCGGTTAGAACGTCGTGTTCTCTTGCAGTTCAGTCTGCTGCTACTGATAGTTTTTGGGCTAATATTGATAGGACTCAACTGAAGAAGTGAGACTCAGTAAGCGTGTTATTTGGAACCATAGCGTGAAAATAAAAATTGAATACGTGTGTAAATATTGACCCCATGACTGCAATCTAAGTGTTGATATACTCGTGCAGGGTATGGGTCCAGGCAACATGGGCCCACCTTTAGGCCATCCTTTGGGCCCCCATAACAGCCAGATGGGCGGGCCCGCGGCCATGAGCACGGGCGGCATGGTCCAGTCTTACCAAGGCTGGGGCACCCCTCCTGCCCAGCAGGGCTACCCGCCCCAGGGCTACGCCGCTGCCCCACAGGCTGCCCAGTACGGCAGCTGGGGAGCTGGCCAGCAAATCCAGCAATGGGGCACCCCGAGCTACGGCTCTGCTGGATCCCAGCAGTACGGCAGTTTTGGTGAGACCTAACAGCGCTTCTTGCTTTTTTAGATTTTTGTTATATAAGCATGTGTAGTGTTAAGTAAATTAGCTGCTGCCTTCATCGACCTCCATTTATGTTGGAAAAGTCATCTATTGGGTGCTGTAAATTGGGTGTATTAATCCGTTCAAAGTTCAACATTTCACAATATCTATTTTTTCAACGGCCAAGTGCCATTTATTTACTTTTAGTCAACTTTCTTAAATTACATTCTGAATGTTTCTGGATTTCATAGTCAAGTGTTTCGGAAAAAAAGCTGAAATTCGATTTCCATGTACCTGGTGACACTGCAATGAACGTCTGATGCTTCAGTCAATAATCGTTCAAGAATTTACCCATCCTTCCATAAGGTTATTAAAACCACCTGTCCATTTTTTTTTTGCCTGTAAATATTATCAAGATAAGGTATTTCTTCCACCTAGAGAACATGTGTATCAATGTGAAGACCCGAATGAAAGTAAAATTTGGTTTTATTTCTAGACAAATGAATAGTAATCATGGTTTCGTTTACGGTTCTCGATATGGGCACTAACCTGATACATACACTGTAGTAATTTTGGATCCTTTCGACTAAGAGAAATCTTCGGCACTTTCTGAAATTCAGAATCGAAGAAAGAAAATCTGTTTATTCTCTGACCTTAGCCTGAACCCTATGATAACATTCTCTCTTCATTACATTTTCAGACTCTGAACTTAATTTCTAAGTAATTTATCTTGCCGAGTCTGTTTCTGTGAAAGACGAATTTTGCCGCCTTTATTTGTCCCGTAAGCCTGACAGCCTCCAACCGGGCTAGCTGTTGTAGTAGCTTAGTAATGCTAGCTGCATGATACCATAAGTTGTGCTAGCCTAGTCTGCAGCCGCTGCTGCATGATACCGTAAGTTGTGCAAGCCTAGTCTGCAGCCGCTGTTGCTGCATGATAGTGTAACTTGTGCAAGCCTAGTCTGCAGCCGCTGTTGCTGCATGATAGTGTAAGTTGTGCAAGCCCGGTCTGCAGCCGCTGTCGCTGCATGATAGTATAAGTTGTGTAAGCCCGGTCTGCAGCCGCTGTCGCTGCATGATAGTGTAAGTTGTGCAAGCCTAGTCTGCAGCCGCTGTCGCTGCATGATAGTGTAAGTTGTGCAAGCCTAGTCTGCAGCCGCTGTCGCTGCATGATAGTGTAAGTTGTGTAAGCCCGGTCTGCAGCCGCTGTCGCTGCATGATAGTGTAAGTTGTGCAAGCCTAGTCTGCAGCCGCTGTTGCTGCATGATAATATAAGCTGTGCTGTCCAAACTTTCTGAACTTGCCCCAAGTAATGGTATAAATCTACGCTAGCAACTCGCGTATTTTATGTCATCGTCACAACAGTGGCTCGACTCTACTAACATTGTCCCAGCAATTCGCCCTATTGCGTATGGCGGGAGGGTCGTTTGTTGATAGCTCCATGACCTGTACATGAATTATGGAAATTATCCAAGCTGTTATAAGTTAGTTATTTTTAATTTGAAACTGTCGTGAATATTGCGGCAAAGAAAAAAAATCGATTTTCCATAAGAAAAAAAGCTCAGAATTTGACAGAAATTCATTACTGATCGCAAGTGCTTCAAGATGCGCGGTTCTACTCATTTGTTGTAGTTTTATTAAGTTTGACGCCCGCATTTGCCCGTAGGCGATAGAGATTGTTCAGCTCTGAGGAGCCCATATCTGAAGTTCGGCTTTTTTTTTGCAAATGGTGCTTCGTTTATAAGGCCAAGTTAAGCGATATTGACGAGATCTATGCGTCGTTCGTTGGTCGCCACTAATTACGGATTGTTTCCATAAGGCGCACTTGCTTCAGCAAGAAACAAGCGAGGTTTTGATTTCCTATGCTGGTTCTGCATGTCCATCAATGCGGAAATCACCTGTAATGCTAGTTGACATCTTGGAATGCGAACTGATATGCGTGCTCGTTTTAACACAATGGGATCGGTTACGTTCCCTAAGCTTGCGCGTATCTCTAATGTTGATCCAATTAGCCGGGCCAATCAGTCAAGGCAAGAGTTCCGCGAATTAATCGTTGATTTGCGGTCCATGATGTCAACTTCGCGCATAACTTTGAGACGGGGTCACCAAGGAAATTGTGAGGTTCTCTTGAGAATGCATTCTCGAATTGTATCCCTTCCTCCGGCTAAGATTTTCTCGTAGTTCTTGATGAAGCCAAGTCTTTTTAACTGTTGGTTGTCGTGTGCTCTTTTTTACTGGTGAATTAGAGATCAAGAAATGTCACCTTCGAGCAATGATCAATTCAGAAAGAATAAATTTCTTATTTGGTGCCATCTACTGCGAAAGGAGGTTTTCCGTATTCTACCTTTATGTTCTATCGATTATACTTCAGAGTGGCTGTTCTCCCGAGAAGCATATCGATTAAACATTTCTTCTGACAGCTTTTTGGGCTCAAGGGTTATACATAAAAATACTGCAACGCGGGTAATTAGTTTGTTCGAGTTTTGCCCGGTCTCGCGTTTCTGCTGCTTAATTTGATTTTATTTCTTTTCTCTACTAATTTTATGGCTTGGAAGAAGACAGGGGCGATTCAATATTTCTGGTACCGATTATTTCTTTTATTTTCCCGTCATTCCGAATGTGAGAGGATAGATCCAAATAACAATGAGATAGATAATAATCCAACAAAGGTTAAGCCATCCTCGCCGCTTGAGCACATTTTTCATCAGTTTTCTTTGCTAGCTTCAAGATTTCTGTAACGCAACGCTGATTAGCATCCTCGCAGTCCTCGCATCCGCGTATGACGTTACATCCTACAATAACTGAATATAATTCTTTTTTCGAGGTCGCATTCGTTTTCTTTTCTCTTAGAAACGCTTTCTAATCTATCCGCATTACATTCCTCTGTGTTGGTTTTAGAATCGTGATTTTTCTTTAACTAGCTCGGGTCTCTTAGAACCTTAGCTTGTTTTAGTCTTTAATCCTTGTTAAATTTTTCGTTCAACTCTGTTTCACAACTCTGTTTCTGATTGTAAATTGAAGTGAACGCATTGTATGATTGACTGGCCTTTACATTTCTGAAATGATGTCACAATTCGTAGATGCGTTGAAGCCCTGGCTAGTTTCATGTCGCTCTCGTCGGATATCTAACTGGTTACTTGCTGATGCTACCTCCGTGTTTTTGTAGCTTTGTATGAAAGTAAGGACTCGGGTTGGTAGATGCGTTGTGTTTGTATACTCGTTCACATGATTTGTCCTTTAGAACTAATGAGTATAATATACGAGGAGACTAACTACTGCATTCACGCTAGTTTTTTCCTCCGACCATTTCCCATCTCTTGACCCTGTATTTTTAACTGCTTCTACAAGCGATCGCTTGCCTAAGTGTTTTGTTATTGCCTCCGTACCAATAGAGGGATTAATTGAAATCGTTGCTGCTCAGGTATTGGCGTGTTTTTGCACTTTCAGAAAGTTGACCGGGTATCTCCGTTGTGTAGTGGGTTTAGATGCGGAGATTCCAAGCTTATATTGCCATGTTTTTCCTCTTTGCTATCAACTTATGATTACTGTTCGTAATACTCTGGTCGTTCACTTTTGTTCACCATGCCTCTGTCACAATAACATGCGTACCAAAGCGTAATAATTAGTTTAAGAGAGGACCAATCAATGTAATCATAGTGGAATCCTAACAAAAGTTCTGTCTGTTGTATTCTTTTAAGAAAAAAATATAACTCGGTACTCACTGCAGTGAGTGACAGAGAGCGTATTTTCTCGTCGACGAAAACGTGACGTCACGGACGGACAGACAGACGGACATGACGAACACACTAGCGCCTTTTTTCCATAAATGAGAAAATGCGCTAAAAAGTAGGCTTTTGATTCGTTTTCTTCCTCGTATCCTCGTATTTGTAACCTTCTATACCAATGATAATTCATGTCCGTCTGGTATCAATGTTTTTATTGCAATGAATATATCAATCTTGAGTCATATGGCTTACAAACTCGATTAACTTTTCATTCATATGGTTGATGTTCCTGTGTGCGTTTCTTATCGAATGTTTAGATGCTCGGTTATGCCACTTTGAAAATAGCCCAGCAAGGAACCATAAGGGTTTATTTTATTCCTTAATGACTTAAAATGTTTACGAAACATTAAAAATCTTCCTAAACTGGAAGATCTAGAGCGATTGATTAATTATTTTGATCTACCTGCTACTATGTTTATTGTAGTGTAGATGTATTGACACTTGTAAAACGGTGACTAACCATTTTGGATTACAAGCATTGATACTTGTAAAACGGTGACTAACAATTTTGGATTAAATCTTTATAATGCACCCTCGAATCCATGCCGATCATTGCAAAGCTTTTCATTTTATATTTTCTTTAATGAATTATAGTGTTTATTCAAAGTCTTTTTCTGATATTGTTGGCGATCTCTAATCATACGCTGAAACCCCTGCGTATTGTTGCCATGAATAAGGTCAGAAATAAATAGAACCTGTGCAGATGGTCAGAATGCAATTGTTCAGTCTTTCCAACGCTATTTAACAACTATTAGACGAGCTTGTGTGTTCTGGTAAGATAAACCTAAATGTTTATTTGAAGGTTTTATGATACAATGAGTTCATTCTCGATTGGGTGATGACATGTGTCGCGTTAGAGGGCAAGCGAGAAGAGCTGACGCGACTTTGGCAGCGAGAATAAAATTGACGATAGCTCAATATTTTGTCGTTATGGCGTTCAAAGTCAGCGTAAAACGAAAGAAATATTTGCCTCGTCTTGGTTCGGTTTTAGTTGGACAGCTAAGCGCTTGGCAAGCTCAGGCTGCTGGGCTAGGTTAAGTGCAGCGCTGAGGCGGATGGCTGGAGTGCAGGCAGTTGTTAGTGCAGCGCTGAGGTGGATGGCTGAATTGCAGGTAGTTGTTAGTGCAGCGCTTGTGCAGGCAGTCGTTAGTGCAGCGCTGAGGCGGACGGCTGGAGGGCAGGCAGTCGTTAGTGCAGCGCTGAGGCGGGTGGCTGAAGTGCAGGCAGTTGTTAGTGCAGCGCTGAGGCGGATGGCTGGAGTGCAGGCAGTTGTTAGTGCAGCGCTGAGGCGGATGGCTGGAGTGCAGGCAGTCGTTAGTGCCGCGCTGAGGCGGGTGGCTGAGGTTGCAAGAAGGCCTCTCTGCAATATATGACTGGGCCCTAGTGAACAACATGCAGTTCAACGGAACCAAATTTTAGGTCCTGAGGTACAGAGGAACTGGAAGAGCTGGAATGGAGCACCCGATACCTGGCACCTGACAACTTGGAAATCAAGAGAAGCGACTCGTTTGCGATCAAGTAGTGTTGATGAACAATCAGGTCAATTTTGATGATCACATACCGGCAATAACCGCAAGAGGTAGGCGACAGATGGGGTGGATCTGGGCATCTGGCGGACGTTCAGAACGAGAGAAGCGGAACCGATGATCACAGTCTCCAGAGCCCTTGTAATACCTATCCTTGAATACGGCAACTGGAATGAGTCCAACGAACCTTCACTTCTAGAATCAGAGGGAGGGAGAAGTTTAACTACTGGGAGAGGTTACAGCGACTTAGTCTGTGCTTACTGCAGAGGAGACGGGAGAGGTACGTACCGGTATGTCATTCTGTACACATGGAAAATGATAACCGTAATGGTGCTAAACTTCGAGAGCGAGAGCTTCAGGATTAAGACATATCACAACGAGAGGAGGGGGAGACTATGCAAGATCCCCCCACTACGTAACAGATCCGCAGTCAGATTTCAATCCCTGCGGGAAGGATCACTTTCCGTGGCAGGGCCAAGGCTGTTCAACGCCCTACCAACTGATCTAAGAGAGGGGGAGTTCACCCTGGAGACCTTCAAGAGACAACTGGACGTGTTCCTGGGCACAATCCCAAATCGACCTCATCTGCAACACTATCAGCGACGAGAAGCAAGCAACAGCATCGTGCATCAGATGGCCCAAATGAGGGCGGATGAACGATAATCAGGCGGCGATCCAGCGTGGCCTGGGACTGCTACTTCCCAAACAAATACTAAGGAAACTAAGGCTGGAGTGCAGGCAGTCGTTAGTGCAGCGCTGAGGCGAGTGGCTGGAGGGCAGGCAGTCGTTAGTGGCGGGTGGCTGGAGGGCAGGCAGTCGTTAGTGCAGCGCTGAGGCGGGTGGCTGGAGGGCAGGCATTGCTGGGTGGGAGTGCAGCACTTTAGTAAGTGGCCGGTGTTACAGGAATGGTTGAGGGCAGCAGCTGGGGCTGGGCCTCACCCCCGTCTACTCCCCCTCACCTCGACAGTGAGTTGATATTGTCATCCTCCTTCATTTGAGCCATAGTTACATTGGGCTACACCATGATGTCGTAGCTTACGTCGCTTCGGGAGATCTCTTTACAAACTGCTTTACCTTTTTGTGCTTCATTCTATTGTAGCTACCACATCTTAGTGTAGTTCATAACTTTTTATTAACCAACACATGATTTCAGTCTTCACTCTTATTTGTCGTGCGTTCACTAAAGTTTTTTTTACAACCGCTTGTTTATACCATACGCGAAGAAGCGCATATCTCGTTTGCACCACTACTCGCTCATTCATCATACGCTCGTTTTTAGCATCATATACGCTTTCTTGTGTTAATTTACATTCATACTTCATCAGGATGAAAACGGATTTAATCATCCCTTGACTTGCTACTGTCGCGCAATGTAGTCTCATAACAAAGCTATACAATTGACATCGGCTAAATTTTCATCCGATGCGCACGTAACATTACAGGCTCAATCGTACACCGACATTTTCAGTCATTGCTTGTGTCGTCAATAGAGTTCCTCGTTTGCCTCACTCCCGCATTGCTCTACTCATCAGGCCCATGCTAGCACTAGCAAGTCGTTGCTTGTGTTTGTGTGCCATATTAACGCCTGTGTGTCTTGAAAAATATATCATTACCAGTGTGTTTTGTGTGGGTGCATCTCTCTTAATTTATAATTTCTAAGGTATTACAACAAACAAAAGCTTAAAATAATTGCTCAGTCATCCTGGGGATCAGTTTCAAACCACATTTCATACAAGGCGTCTGATTCTTCGGTAAATGCATATTCGTTTTCAGATGTAGGTTATTTGTAATTTATTATTTTATTATATTTATTTATCAGCGTCAGAACTTTGAGATTGTTTTCCGAGTAGTTTTTTGCGCTTGTAAAATCTTCTTGTAGGTAGTATCACGTAAACGAAATTTTAGCATTATTTGAATGGTATCCAATTTACTTGATTTCGTTCATATGTCAACCCAAATTTTGTTACTCTATGCGTCTTTAACTTGAAAATGAATGTTGTACATTCGAAACGTCGTTAAATATTAAAAATGTCTATCGGTAATTTAATTTTCAATCTTCCAACACCTACGAAGAATTTAGTACGACTTATTGAAAAAAACTAACAAGAAGTTGGTAAATAAAACTAATTCTCTGGTCTTTAACAAAACTTGTTTAAGAGAAGAAATTCTGCCAGCCTACACTAATATTTGTAATTTGTGCACAATTCCGTGCTATTTGGCGGCTTGGCGTGGTGCTCCATTCTCGTCTTTCACTTGCAATTGTCCGACCACGAGGCTAGTTATTGCTGTGTTCGTTTCTGTGTCCAGATGTTAAGAATCTAAGAACGACTGGCCAGGAGTTGCTCCACTGAAAATGTTCATTGTTTTTTGCATGCTTACTATTCATTATGCGTTGGTTTGCATGTCTTAATCAGAACCAAATCAAGCAATGCATTCTTGCCTTTCCTCGCGTTTTTGTTTATTACCATGTGCGTACTGGGGTATAGCGCGTTTTTGTTTATTACCATGTGCGTACTGGGGTATAGAATATTCTAAAATAATTATTATAATTGTTCAAGTTATAATAATAGAGGCTGTAGTACTGTAAGCTGTCAAGTTATACTTATCGCGCATGAATGGATTAATGAGATTCCCTCTGTCCCTATCTACATTCTGGTGAACCCACAGGCAAGGGAACGGACTTGCATGAACACAGCGGGGAAAGAAGACCCTGTATAACATTAAGCCATCATTATTGCTGCACAGTTTGTATGTTCGGAGTTCGGACCACATGCCTTTTTATTCCCGACTCGTTCGTTCTTTTCTCACTCGAAGTTCTTTCATAATTTTGTCTTGGGGTTTTTTGCTTCTGCCTTTCAAGTTTTGAGCCTGGTCCTGACTAGTTCTTTCGGATGTGTATTTCAATCAGGTTTAGTATAAAGCCAAATGGGCACGAGTTTCATCTTATGCGAAAAGGCTTCGAAATAATATTTTCGTGCTATGAACTCTGTTCTAAGTAGGTTGATAGTTTTGTGTTTTGGCACTATAAAATGGAATACAATTCATTAATAGATTTATAATGTTGTATTCAATTGAAGTACTTGGTGTCCGAGTCGAGGTCAAGGTATTAGCACAACAACCTGGTCAGAGAACGCTGCTGTTGTGAACTGGCGCCATGTTTGAGAATCAATGCAAGCTTCCCAACGGCAATAAGTATTTCTATGTAAATGAAAATAGTTGAACTTTAAATCCATAGAAATACTTGCTCAAAATGAGCATGATAACCACATAAAGTAAAAGCAGACGTAAATTACTTCAGATTTATCACAAGGTATGTTAAAGCAGCTTAAGAAAGGGAGTAATTATCTTCAAGTTCCTTCTCAAGCGACGCTGATAGAGCTTTTATTCATAGTTATTCCGTTGCTCGCATTTTTGCTTGACTGAATGTCACAATTCACTACAAAATTTGTTTTTCGATCATAGATCAATCGAATCAAAACAGTCCGTCTCCGACTTCAATGAAGTGACTAAAATACTTCAGTCCAATGTTGTTATTCGATTTGTTTAATTGTAGCTCCGAGTTGTTACCGATTAATAAATTGATTCTATGGGGAGCGGTGTTCAGGTTTTCCTTCTGCTTGAAAATTTTTTGTTGATATCACATTATTTATTTTCATTTACAGTTGCCTTGTCAGTGGTGTCTTTGGTGTCTGCCTGTGTGGTGTTATCCGTTCGAATGCAACATGAAGTTGTGCTAAACAAGGTGCTTTCAGTTCATTCATTTACTACACAAATATTTCTGAATCCATTTGTCTAAGCAATGAAAAGCTGGCATTATTTTGCTGATTTGGTGTTGTTTCAACTAATTTGTTTAAATAAAGGGCGTTTGTTTTGAAAAGTACTCTCTAATGTCGAGCATCAATTGTTGAGGCCCAGGAAGACATTATCCACTTGGCGTAGATCGATGCTATGAAGGATTGATTCTTGTGCGCGCTTATTTTGCTTACTAGTTACTCAGTACATTTTCAGAAACGACTGCCGTTTCTTGTAAGAAATTTGAAAATATTCTTCATGATCAATTCACGTTTTGTATATTTTCCTCTCTCTCTTCACTTGTGCATCGTATTTTTACTACCAATATATCTCTCGTATTTTGCCACCGAAGGTTTGACTTTCCAACTTGAATACTTCTTTCTTTTTTTTCCGTCTAGCTTTGAGACATAATTCCAAAAGTCGTTTCTTAAATTTTCAACAGAGAGATGAGAACGCGATATAAGAATTCATTATAAATATATTTTGAATTTGTTGAATATGAGCAGGACGGTTTCGTAATTATCAGTACATAAAACTGCCCGAAGTCGATAGGTGCTCACAAGCGCTGAGCTAATTTTGCTTTATTGGGTCGGTACTTTCGTTCAAAGTAGACTGTTACTTGTAATAACCAGGTGCATAGAATAATTTCACGAAATGACTACACAATCTATGCGTGAAGTATTTTTATCTAGGCATGGTTGATGTGGCTTCTCAAGTTGCGAACGCTTTTACTATCGTCTAATACCTGCGCGAAGTTACCGTGAGCTCACCGTAGCTTGTTCCTGGAGGCGCGGAATACTCTCTTTGAGAGCGGCCTGCGTCTGGTGTTTGAAATAGCTTAGTATCGATAGATTGGGGTATAGATATCAAGTTACTTGCATAATTATCTATTGACGAGAGATTTACAAGCTTTCATAAATTATTACATCTTCTACGAAGAGGCATTCTGGAATGTTTCCATAGTGAAGTATTATGATCACAACTGAGCTCCCGTGCGGGTAGTTACGCTCGTCCTGTGTTTGCTTTTGGTAAATGGGCCTTGGCTGTGGATTTAAAGATTGATTCTCTTTGGTTGTGGCTTTAAAGATTGATTCTCTATGGTGAAAAAGTGTTGGCGGGCGTCAGTTTTAAACGTGCTCCGTGATTTCAGTGGCGGGGGCTCCAGGGGCGCCGTCACCTAGCCTCGCTGCAGCAGGTGGAGCCGGAGCTTCAGCTGCTAAGGGAACAGACGACTACTCTGCCACCACATGGGGCCAATACTACGGTAATTGGGAGCACACTAACAGTGAAAACTACCAGTGATCGCTCATCACCCTCCTCCTCCCTCCTCTTCTTAAGGGCACACAGACGCTTCACGAAGCGTTCGTCGTTTTTGTCACAGTAAAGCTGCTTTTTGGTACCTGGCTTCAAGCCGGCTTGTATGGTCAAGGTAGCTGTCATACAATAGTAATTTGCGGATAACTTTGTCACGCCTGAGCCATCTCTTTTGCGGGTGTAGCTTGTGTCTGGTGCGGCTCAGCGTTCGTGACTTTCAGTGTATTCTGTTCGGCGCGAACGCAATGCTTACTTCATATGTAAGTTAATTCGCACCCCTCATCCCTCCTCAAGCGCAGTTTACAATTCTAATGACGATTGCTTTGCCAGATTGTTCCATGATGGACTTCATGCTTTGTTTATTTGCCATTATTTCGCAATTTTGCATGTCGATGTTTCGTACATCTTTGAAAAAATGTTTTGTTTTTTACGTTTCATTTCTACGACAACGTTTTCTTTTTATTTGCTCACCCTGCATGTCTGCGACGCATATTTGTTTGATATTAGGTTCTTGTCCATAATTGCAGATAAAAATCAATTCGTTACGAAAATAATGCATGTTCAAAGCTCTCTGTGAAGAGTACTCATTATTTCATAATTTGTTAACTCGAATTGCCTCCGTCAATTTTCTTTTCCCATTTTTATGTAGCTATTGATCTTTGCTTGTTAAGGTAAGGTTAGATTGTAATTGACGCCTGGTTTTGTGCCAGTGTGTTTTTTTTACTTAAATTGATAAAGTAATGTCATTGATCGTCATTCGTGATTAATTGTCATTTTATGTGCAAGCTGTGGCATTTTGCTCGTTTGAATTATAGTCCTGCGTACCAGTTTACCTCAAACTTGCTTTACACGTTACCGTTGTATTTGTGCCTCCTGTGCCATCTCATCTCCAGCGACCTGACATGCGTATTTGTATTCTTCTACCCACAATTGTAGATAGTTTTGATTAGGAGCAGCCGTCATTTTTCTACTGCTGCCTCTAGACCTTAAAACTTAGAGAAATATGAGTATGACTATTTACTGTGACCGCACCGCGAATGACCCGTTGAATGTCTCGAGTGCTCTTTTCATGTAACTTATGGTGTTCTTAATATCATTTGTCACGGATGTCTGTGAACTTTCTTTTGTGTATCGATATTGCTTAATCCTTGGCACCAAACCGTAACGTGATTTCTGAAAGCTTAGATACCGCGTGCTGGTTTTGTCATCTACCTCTAAATTTCCAAGTGTTGGATAGTTTTAATTGCCAAGTTGCGGATATAGGTACCCGTTTTTTGCTACGAGAAAGAGCGTGTTGCGGTTGTTGTCTGATCCTGACTACTGATGTAATTTTCTTCTTCACGAGTATTTTCAAGTGTGAATTACTCGTTGAAGAGAGAGAAGACATACGCGTAGACTGCATTATTTTGTTATGAAGGCCCTGTTCAACAAAGCTTTTCACTGTACAATTCAATTCATTGAATCATTTCGTCATGTAGCATTGATGTCTGTAACAAGTACCTTTTAATAATAATGGCTCAGATGAAATTTCGTCTTCTTTATTGTTAACCTTTTAAGCTCAGGATAATGTTGTAGAAATCGTAAGAACCAATTGAAGCAAATAGATTTACTTCGTACAATAAGTTAGTTATTTTTAAAGTGATCTTATACAATAACATTTTATTCGATATCTTGATCTCTTTTGAAGGTTTCACTTCTGTTTAAATCGATATCGTGATCAAATTTGCTTTGTAATTTTTTAAAACATTTATTTATTTTAATGTCTAACTCCTGCATACCTTAATGATAAGCTGGTATGCATTGTTAAACTTACGGTTGCGTTAATAGCGTGAAGTAGCTTTCTAGATTGAGTTGAAATTATGAAACTTTTCTAAATTTTATGTCTCCGACGTACATCACTCACGCGTCATTTTCGCTTAAGATTGATGTTAACAATTTTCATCAAGTATTAACGAGACTCAGAATGGCATGCGTCAGCATAAACAGTGAGGTAGCGTCTCGTAACTTTTTAGATATTGATCGAATGGCCTGTATAATATTTGGACCGTAAAATCAAAAGTGGGTAAACATCATATAGTGTAAAATGTTTATGATAAAATAATGGTCATGACGGATAACGGTAATTTTTCATAACTTACCCTCTACTAACGTTTCGAAATAGTGGCCAGATCATTAGAACCGAACATCGGACCACGCATCCCACCTGTACTGAGCTCGTCTCTCTAAGATTTATGAAGGTAATCGCAGAAGGTGTGTGCTGCTGAGATCTCCGTTATTCAATTGGTTATCGATGTTGGAGCTGAGATATAATTCACTTCTTGACTACATATTAACGACGAATGATAGATGCTTAAAATTGAGTAAACGCGTAACTTCGAATGGATTGTTGATAATGTTCAGTAACATTTTGCTTTTAAATCTGCACGTCCTACAATGGCACTTGAATAGGAGCGAATTAGGGTTCGCAATCAATTAAATCTGTAATTGGTTTGTTAATAATACAATTCTGTTCTGATCACAATTAGCCTCGTGCCACCTTAATGGGGTAATTCTTTAGTTCATATCGAACGAAGCGATTTAGTTCAAAATTTCTACCTTGCGCCCTTGAGACTTAAGAAATGTGCGACATATCTTGAGACTTCTTCCCCAATTTCTCGAAGTTGAATGCTTCGTCTTGTATGCCTGTATAATTTCATCATTTAGTCTGTGTCCCTCAGTTTTGATATTTCCACGGGATAGAACCTCTGATTAGTAGGCGCATTATTGGCTATAGCTTGTTTTCCTTTCCAAAATTTGTTTACCGTTTTCCGCGTTTTACTAAACGCATCTCTCTAAATTAATCTAGAATAGAAACTTAACATGTAGAAGTAGGTTAACTCACTGCATCAGAATACCAATGGAGATCTCGCTATAAGTATTCTACATGGATACCATAATCGTTATAACTATAAGGTTATGGACGTAGGATATTCGCTTTTATTAATGCAAAGGAAGTAGCAAGTGTTTACAGGAAAAATTCCAGTGTCTTTCTAGCAATAGGTTGGAATAATGACTATGATTGAAAGGGGCAGAGCTTTAAATTTTTATTCACACTACAGACACTGACAGTTGAAAGTTGATGGTTTTTCAACTCATTTAAGTCACAATCCATAACAGTTTAATCTACACGAGCCACTCGATCAAACTTTTACTTCCTTTTCAAAATAATGATTCTCGATTTCGGTCTTCAAGTTTGATTACAACTTGGAAAGACGCGAATTGTGCAGATATTTTACTAAATATTATCGTACATCATAACGGCTGTTGACTTGGACGTGTCGGTTCTAATTAAACTTCCAAATGTTGTATATTTAGTAATTGAAGTAACGCAACGTCGGGTTGGGCCTCTTCCTAGAATTTTCATACGACATAAAGTGCTATTGCATTTTTAGCGGAGACATACGAATCAAACACAAGTTGTTCCACGCAAAAATTGACACATTTATGTGAAGTGACTGGTGAAATTCAAGCGTAGTTGAAATTCGTACGTAGTTGAAACTTGCTGGTAGCCATTAGCAAGGTTTTGGAGTTTGTTGACAAAGTTGCCGTTTGCAGGTGGCGGGAGCGGTGACTCCGGCGCGTTGGCCGCGGCAGCAGCCTTCAGCCAACACCGCGCGGCCGCGGCTGCCGCGGGGTACACCCCCATGGCGCCCGGGCAGCAGCAGCAACCGCCCCCTCACCAGCAGGAGTGAGTTGCGTTCTGTGTGGTGTTCGCTCTAGTGCTCACTGACTGGTCATTGGCTGAGCGAGACTAAATGCTGGTCAGTGGCCAGTCTCAGGAGCTTTTAATACCTGACGTACCCAGCAAAAGGAAATTTATTTCTTTCCGTTAAACGTCCCACAACCTGCCATCTCAATCGTACTTGCTCGAAATTATTCAATTTCACATCTCAAACCTGAAGCACTTGAAACAAGGTTTCTGTAATAATCGAACTCATCGTCCATTTTCACTAATCGACAGAGATTAGAACAAATATGTAGGCACTTCCTTGCAAACAAAAGCCTCGTGAGTTATTGAGTACTATTTTATTTTCTATTTTCCCCGCAAACTTTTAGCGCAATTTGCTGCTAATATAATGTTCACACTAATATATATTTCATTTTTTGAGCCTGGTATGTTTTACTGCACAACATTAAATCTGTTCTTTTTCAACTAAAGTTTAACATTTCAAGCTGTTTTTTCCCCGTTCATTAGTTTCACGCTCTTGTGAGGTTTTCACATAGAATATCTCATATTGCCACTTGTATGTTTCATTTTTCCTTGATTTAGTATTGCGATATCGAAGCATTTTTTCTCAAACTCACTATGTTCTTGCTTATTCTTTAGTAACTGTTCAAACGATAATAGAACGTTCCATTTTTTTCTTTTATCTCATGCTGGAACTTCCTCGTTTTACCTGCTTAGCCTTAAACTAACACCTCCAAAAAGTTTCATAGCACACGGTTTCTGATTTGAAACAACTTTGCATAAGTTCTACGTCTCCTTGAGCCCATTCACCGAAACTTGAATCACTATACTGACTTCTCTGCTAACTTCATATTTGGGAATCGGGACCTGAGTTTTTTCCCTGGTAAATCACGCTCTGGTAAATTTTCCTCTCATTTTGATCTGGTCAATTTCCCATGAGCGGGTGAAGTCAACAGTTCAACGCACTAGTAGATTTTTCAAGTTCCTGAAAAACGTTGAAATGTCTTGTATTCCTCTTGAGCTGTCGACGCGGCAGTCAAGTACGCAATGAGCGCAAATACGCAAGATATTTTGTGTTCAATAATCAAGCTGCAAATCACGTCATGATTATTTTGTCACCCTATTTGTTGCGCAATTATGGTTCACTCTTTAGTTTTAATAGTTTTCTTACGCAAAAAAATGGTAGCTCTGAAATTTTGTTCGCCGATGCTATTTCTGTCATGTTTCTTTTATTGCGAATGTTTTTCGCAAGAGTGTATGAACTGCTGACATCACCTCCTTCACTTTAAAGAAGCTGGCGATTTTATTCTTCATCCTTGTTACTAATTGCAATGGATACTTTCGGTGCAAGCAGTGCCTGCCCATTTTGCATTCATCATTTGCATGTAATTGATTTAATTTGTAGAGTAATGTCTTAAACTGTTGTTCTGTAGCATTAGTTTATTATTGTGTTTGTCGCCGTTGGGTATTGATCAGTAATTATTTTAAGTTATTCTATTTTCAAACCGGCCAGATCCCTCAAACCAACACGTGGAAAAATTAAGACCTGTCTTCTTGTGCTAATTGAGTAGAATTTGAGTGTGGAGTATAAAAATAGCAAGTTCTTTCGTACCTATTCGTGACATTTAATGTCCCAGCGCAAGACTAAATACGTACTTAAATAGGAAAAACACACACGACCATTCATTTTCACGACCACAGTTTCTTTGAATACTGTTCAATACTTTATAAAATATTTTAATTGATTGCTTTCAGACCGTAAGATAGGTTTCATTCTTCGAACAATCCTTGCGTTTGTTAACGTTTTACTAGACATTTCGAGTGGCATTTAGCCGTGTCTTTGTACTGTCTAATCATAGGATTTCTTGAGATTCAAACCAATGTTAAAAACGTAAAAAAATACGACTTGTTCACCGGGAGGAAGCGAAAAATTCAATAATATTTTAAGAATATACTCAAAAATTTGCCATTTTTTCTTCATCATATAAATTTAAACCTCCAGCAAACTTCGAGATTAACTTTTATTAGTTTTTTGATATTTTAGAAGATGGTCTTAGTTTTTCCTTGTGACAAGTTTAGCTCACTCTGTCTCCGACAGCATGCTATGCTTGGAAATTAATTTGGTAGTATTACTTTATTAGGCTTTAAAGTTTCATGTCTTTGTGATGTACCATGAGTTTGAATTCAAAGTTTCAGTAATTGAACTTGACGTTCATCCTACGATTTTTATTTGGTATTGGGAACTTTCGCTCCTCTTTCCACCATTTTGCGAGAGCCTGCTTGCATAATGTGCGTAGACTATCGAATATTGTCTAAATTTTGCAAAATTCTCAATTCAAAACCAAAATTCAATCTGCGCTGATGAAACATAATCTTAGTGAATAAATCAAGTCTATTACTATGAAGATTGATTAATCATTGATTCTTATTCGTTACTTTGACTTTAGATTAAAAAGAAGCAAATCTTAAGCTCTGCTCCAGCTAACCTCATTGTTTGTGTTGCGTGTGGTGCAACAGCTCCGTGTGGTAAGCTGTCGTCGCTACGTTCTCTACCACCGCCGGCCGTCACCACCGACCACCACCGTCAACATCACTTCTCTCCAGATTATTCCATGTGAACATCTTCAGCCTTGCGACCTAGAGCATCATGCTTGAACCCTCTTGAGCAACTTATCGCGACAAAATATCCCTTTTAAAACGGAAAAATTATCACTGTCTAGCAAAGAAAAAAGTTCCTGGGAAGTTTGTGTGGCATTAGCTGAACTCGCGCAGATCTTGTTCTTAATAATGAAGCAGTAATTTCGCGCGTATGCCTGAATCTAATATTAAAAGGAAAAATGCTAAGTGTTGTTTATATTTTGACGCGTTTAGATAGTAGCAGCTTAATTATGTAATCATTTAGTACTGGCTGCCAGTATTTAGTAAATGCGAGTTCATCGCAACGCCATTACCTACTGGGGGAACTGATGAACTCCTGTACAATTGACGACCTGCTTACTAACGGTAATTTATTGTTCCCCCCATCCCGCGTTAGTTGAGCCTTCACCATAAACAGTGAATGAGCTAATTATTGGCCTCTTCAGGATGTGTATATTACCTCTCCTGATGGTTTGGCTGCCCAGACACTCCAGCTGCGATAGTCCAGTGGCTAGAGTCCAATGAAGCTCGGCACGCGCGCAATTGTTGGCGTTATTGGCGTTCGAGGTTTCCTTGAAAACCTCATTTTTTTCTCTCGAGTTCTAAACTTCTTGAGCATGACTAATAGGAGACTCAATTTTTGCATTATTACCGCGATAGTGAATCAAGTCTCCTTGTATTTTATCTGACTATACTGACCATTCTCGCTAGATTCTTTCCTGGTCTGAGACTTTCTTGAATTACTTTCGATCGAGTTGATTCACTTATTTTTTCGCAATTAAATATTAGTGGAGCATGCAATTACATTTTTTACGAACATGAAACCATTCGAGTCATTTTATTTTATTCATTTACGTTAATTTTCACTGTCGTCGTAGGAAATGAGCCAAATATGCCTGAAACTTCAGTGAATATTTTTAATTAAATGTAATTCACGATATATAGTTTGAAGTCTGGTGCATATGATAATGTTTAATTTGACATTGTTTGCAATAATTTTTACTGAATTAAATTTTAATGTAACTTCTAGATGCAATAAAACAGGTGGACTGTGGTGGAAAATAGTGTATTAATCTAACGTACTTTTGTTCTAAATTGTTTAGCGAGTAGATTGAATTGGGCGTAGATTTGACTTATTTTTACTGAGTGAGAGAGCAGTTGGTGCTTCGTTGTTTTCTGCTCCTCATATTGATTACCCCACCGATACCTCTCACTTCTCCCCAAAAATAATTTTTACTTCCTCCCCACCGATTCCTCTTACTCCCTCCCACCGAATCCTTGCTACCTCCAACTGATACCTCTTGCTACCACCTAGCTTTTATACCTGTCGATATTTCCTTCCCTTCATAGTTGTTTATTTTCCATCAAATCAGGTGGACTCTCAATATTCACTGGCTATGTTAACTTTATTTCTCCTACTTATGTTATTCTTCTACCAAGGCAACGTTAATAGAAGGCCTAAAAGATTTTGAAGGGACAAAATGTTAAGAATGTTCAGATCTTTACTGCGAAATTTTTCGAAATTGTGTTTCTAGATTGGAATTTTGGCAGTGCCAGTTCCATAACATAGGTTGGGAGCTTTGATTGTAAGTTTTTGTCAGGAGATTTTTATTATATTGACTAATTATTATGATAATTACCTTGGCATTTTAGTCTAATTTAGCTGCTCCAAGATATCCTCAGATGTTAGTACTTAAGAGCTGCATTCTGAAATTTGATGCAAATTTATTAAAACCAATCGTAAAATCCCCTAATATGGAAAAAAGTTTTGATTGGATAAGATCTGCATCGGCGTGACGGTGTCAGTGGAATGACTGATTGAGTGAATGTGATTAAGTGGTGAAAGTTTATGAAAGATTTTTGTTGCCTTATTAAAATTGCTTGATGTTTTAGAATTTAGATGATGAAAGACTAACAGCAGCATTATTCAGAAGCTCGAATAGTCTTATCCCTTCAGGAAAACGATACAATGAACTTCGTTCCGCAAGACCAAAGAGTAGCCTACTGCTGATTTTCTCCTTCTACTTCTAGTAGTAACGATAATGATACTAATAATATAAATGCTAGTTATGGCAACCAGCTTCATTGATGATAAAGTACAATTTGAGATTTAAGCCCAACTGTATGAGAGTGTTAATCTTAAGCATTTCTCGCTGGAATAGCATTTATTTTCTCTTCAAAATTGTTATTCTCTATACATGACTCCGAAGGGAGATTTTTTACCGCTACATTTATATTGATATCATTGATGGTGTCTATTTAGTGTTTAAATAAATTGCTCTAAGAACATATTCTTACCGGTGATAGTAAGAACAAAGCTACTCACTGATCTAACGGAGCAGTAATTATAACGTCGATTTATTCAATGTCCTAGCATCGTAGACATTACCGAAGTAAAGTTGTGATTCTCAGTAGGGTTAATCGCATAGTATCCTAATTTTGTATCTGAAAGTTTTATCGTAAAATAATTGACGTATCTGACTAATGTGTAAGGGTGAAGAAGTTGCCATCAGTTTAGAGTGTGACCTTGTAATCATTCATCAGATTCTCTTTTGTCCCCGGTCAAACACGGCTTAAATATTGCCGTCGTCGCTCTATCTACTCAGATTTTGAGTTCGAAAAAGATCGATTGCTATGTGAATGAAAGTGTGACTTAGTCTAATGATGCCTTTTGTATAGAATTTAGGTTTTAAGTTATAGCCTATATTTTGTACATAGAGGAGAAAAATTTCGGATGGAAGCAAGTGCTGTGTTGCGGATTTTTGCGAGAGATGTGTATGGATTGTGCGATGCTGTTTCTTGACAGCGCTTTCTTTAAGAAGTGATAGACGAGCAGTAGCGTCGGGCTCGGTGGTTGTGCTCGAGGGCCCCGGCGGTGGTGGCGAGAGGTGGGTGAACCGCAGAGATAGAGTCTCTCATTACCTTCGTACAAACTGTGTTCTCTACGGTGGTGAGAGTTGGGGCATATTATCATGACCTTTTGCCCCTTGCGACGGATGGACTAGTAGGAGTCAACCTTGTACTAATATTAAACTGTCGCCAGATAATCCCTGAGCTATGGTTGAACTTCTGCTAATTTTTAACTGTAGGTGTAGTCAGTTTCCTTATTAGTGACAAGTTTGCGCTGTTCAACCCTTGCTAAGTGTGAGTGCGGTCTCTAGGCTAGTTGGTAGAATAAGTTTGTTTGGAGTGGGTATGGTATAGGGTTATGTAGTATGTAGTATAAGATTTTGCATGCAACCGATCACTGCTTCTTAAGAGCATGGCCGGTCTTCGTAGTTAGTGTTCTAATCATTCGTTCTTTCTTACTCGTAATGTCTAACAAGGAGGGGGAAAAGACGGGCAAATGTTAATATTATCGTGGAAAATGAAGCATTTCTCTTCGATCAAATTGTCATCCAAGGACCCTAAGCTAGAACCACATGGCATTTTAAATAGTGGTTTGGAGAACAGTGCTTCGCATGTCCTATTAAGAAGAGTCCAGTTAATTCCCACCTTCTTGTACTCGTGTTACCTGATCATGTTGCGCGACCCTCTTGCCTATTTAGATGAGCTATATCGCTGCACTCCCTCGCCTTCCGGTAGTCGCTCTTTGACCACCCGCGTTACGTTGTGCTACGTCACTCCACTGCTAAGTTTATCTCTGCGGAGGGGCGTCAGCAGCGTCAAAAGATTTCAGGCTGTCGCCTGTGGTTGCCGGCTTTGTTTCACTTTGTCAATGACGCTTAGATTTTAGAACGTTTCCAGGCACTGTGCGTGCGTTTTCATGTTCTGTTCGTTTTCCTCTGCTACTAATAAGAATAATGCTGTAATACCGCTTCGTGAATCATCTTTTGAGACTTGTAGTTTTGCAAATTATATTTAACGACTAAAACCTGGCTCTCATATTATTAAGTTGTGAGAATTGGTAGTTGGTAACCCTCGGTCTCATTTCCGTTGTGTGTGATTGTTGATACTCATTCTTGATGAGCGATTTTCGCGCGTTAATTCTAATTCTTGTTCTACTGTTTGCAGAATTAATACTATGAAGTTGTGAGGACGGATAATTGTCACTAATTTGTGTCGATGCAATCCTCCGGAACTGTTAGTTTTAATAAAATTCCCGTAGCCGTATTGCAGCATATCAGTGCATGAAACTTGTCGTGGTGTTACTGATGTATCTAGCTATAAGAATTTGTGTTGTTTACAAGCGTTTTTTTCTTATTTTAAGGGCAGGGTTTAATTATTATTATTCTAAGAAAGCATTCTCGTGTGCACTTGCAGCCAACTTCGATTACCTGTTGCCTGGTGCCAGCATCCGCTTGTGGATGGCCACTGTCTACCTCACATGTAGTGAGAGTTTTTAAGGTTCTAAAGGTTCTGGTGAACACAAACTGCTATCGGCACCTCGCCAAACACTCTGCATAGGCGTACGCTTCAATCTCTCGAGCAATGCAAGGGACTCCTCGTGCTCTAGTGTCAACTCCTCAAGTGCTAGACTTATGCCTCTACTTCTTAATCGTATATAAAACAAATTAAAAATGATAATACAACTTGCTAAACGATACATGATTTTTTCATACTTTTATATTTTGGCGCGTTTTGTCTATTTATGTAGTAATCTTAAGGCGATATTAGGTTAATTTTTTAAATGTATCACAAGTTTTATAGTGATGTATATAACTTCTGGATAACACTTACATTAATAGTACGATCTAAGTGTACATAAGATTTGCATTATTGGTTGTAAATAATTACTGATGACATTTAGAAATAGCCCGGTAGAAATTTTGGGGAAAAATCTATTTATTGCTTGTTCAGTTTTTTGGTTAAGGGATTTTTCTGTTGTGAACCGAACTGTATTAAGTTGAGAGTATAGTCTGCAGCAGCTGGCGTTGTGATGCTAGATAAGGTAGCTCTTTAAAGCTCTGTAACATCTTTAGGATAATAAGCTTAGGCTGCTCCTCTCCACGTTGTAGTCCACCGTTAGCCCTAAGTCAACGTTCTTTATGGCCGAAACTCCTAGCGGATTCGTTCTAGGGCTGAAATCTTAAGCTTTAATCGTAGCACCTTATGCAGAGTGTTTGGCGAGTTATACAAGTTCATGAGATCGCACATGACCAATGGTAGAAGGTCGTGATGACCTAATGAGGCTCGCAGCTACGCCTTATTTGAAAGATTTTATGAACGTCGATGTGCTGGTATGAGTTGTTCCAGGACCTAATTCTTAAATAACCGATTAAAGTGTGCCTCAAACACACGCTAATTATGCTCAAATCAATGATGTAAGTGAAGGAATTCTTTAGATAATTCTTACCGAAATTATTGATGAACTATTTAGACGTATTTCTGATAAGTACTTTTTATCACTTAAATTCATCGGAGCCATTAAAATTTAAGTAGTTTAATTCTTGACGCATTTTTATTTAACTCTTGTACATAGTAGAGTTAAGGCTGCAGAAATTAGACGAGTGCCACATTATAGGTATAAATGATAGACTTAGTTACTTTGTACAATCCATATTAGTTCTTCTAAGCAGCTGATTACCGGCTTATAAGAAAGAAATGTTTGAAGCTATTTTGTGATCATTCCCTCACTTTTCAAACACACGCTTTGTACACAATTTGAATGCTAGATCAAGATATAGATGAAATGACATCATTAAAACACACTCGTGCTATAAATCTTTTATTTTCTAAATAACCTTATTAAATATACAAAACACAATGTAGAATTTGCTGTTTTTTTATGGATTATTTATTAGCACTAAAGACATGCGTAAGTCCGGGCGAGATAGTGGACTAAAACGCTCAGATGTCTGCAACACAACGGCCGGGTTTACTGAGGCCGAAGCAACCAATTCCACAGTGTCGTTTGCAAGACTGATGTCTGGTACCAAATTGCACAGCCTAAGACATGCAATTAATAATATTAATGTGTTTTTCTTCCATCTCGCATGCAATTTTTCATTCCAGTGAGCATTTGCGTACCTAAAAAGAAAGATTGAAAACTAAAAAAAAAAGACGTGATCAACCAGTTATAATTTAATTATTCTGCAGCGGACACGTTCGTCGAGGTCAATGTTCTTCTTCACATTACGTTCTATCGAATGCTTAGGAAACTAAATCAATGTTTTGAGTCACTGACATCGATGAAAATTCATTTAAGCGACAAGTAGGCAAATGAAAAAATGCACCGTCCAACCACTGTCTGACAATATTTTTTGCCTTGTCAAATATTTTAAAATACTTCAATAAAAAAACTTATTCTCTAAAAGAAAACAATTCAATTAAGAAACTGGGACCGCATGCAATCTACTGCTTTTCCACTATCAAATTAATTATCAATCTAATAAATATAGACTATAACGTGAAATGATCATAGAACATCGTTACAACTGGGATCCTCGCACATACAATTTTAGGGAGAAATTTAACTCGTACTATCTATCAAGTCTAAAAAACCATTCTCTATTATTCAACGATTAATTAATAGTACTTTCGTAACCTAAACCTTCTTAATTCGTCATGATCTAAATGCCAATAGATACAACAATAATGCCAAGTAAAATTCTCTGACAACATAACACGAAGGAATATTTTAATCTAGCTTATGAACCTGGATAAGCTGCGAACGATCACAGACGTCAGCAGTGCCGTTAAAAATTTCAAGGATGTTGTGAAGTAATATACGTCAACATCGAGACAGTTAAAAAAAACACATATTTCCCCCCTTTATTTCAATTCCTATAACTTCACGGATTTATCGGACATTAATCTTCCCTAAATTACATTATGCGTCACAATGAGTCCATATTAATGGATGTCTGCAAAATACTGCAACAAATAATGTCCAATTAAGAGCTGGTATGTGACGATCCAAATCATTCACGTATGAGGTCCTTTCTACGCGATTTCTCCATCACTTGTGATACGAAGAACAGAAGCTACTGCTGACTATATAAACACTCCATGGATCAACCTAAGTTTCCCTGTACAACTCTCTATTCATATGTAAATTTAGTCAAAATATGAAACTAATAGGTTAAAGATGAACTCATCAAATTTTTTCAGACGGGAAGACAGCTAAATATATTTAGGAAGATCAGTCAGTGTGCACACCTTGAAAGCGCATTGAGCTGGCGATTTTATCCAAAATGCAAGACCATTTCTCGACCGGGTTGAAGACTACAACCCAATATTGTATACGGCCAAGATACCACTTTCTATTCACATAATAAACCAAATTGCACGCACACGTACCCCCGAAACGTTTATTTCTATCCGCGCTAATTTTTTCCCTTATCCAGTCATAATTTAGGAGCTGCCTTTTAAATTTAAATCAGGAGAAATACTAAAATTGAATGAGCGAAACGTTTTATCGTGATTGAATATTGCATCTATTCATACCTAGACAAATCACATTACGGTGTACTAGACCGATTTATTGCAACGTCAAATAAATTACGCGAGGCGGTCTTCGAAATTCCCACAACTGGAATTAGTGAAAATTTGAAGTTAGTTTATTGGCAACGCTTCCGAACTGGATTAGCGCTTCAATGGACAGTGTATATTTTTTTCTCGACCATTGGCTCGACACTGTAACTCTAAATAAACACATAGAAACGCTGGCACTTTTTTCGAATAAAGATTGAGAGCTTGTTGGACGTGAGATCATGCTCTTAATGATGAAAATGGATAATCATCTGAAATATCAGATGATTCATGATTAATTAGGTCATAAAATATAAATACTATTCATGAAGTGAGCTGGTACTTTGAAGACGGTGCTGAGATTCCAGGCGAATTTTTCTGACAGAAGTAGAATAATCTATATAATGTCTTTCGAGGAAATGATACCAAATACCAAACTCATGTTACCACACGTTTAGCAGTCGTGCTTTGAACGTCCAATGACATGGTAGAGCGATGGTTGTTGTATTAATGCACAGTAGAGCGGTGACTCACGCACTATGCAGCATTTTGTTCATTATAACATCACTAAGCTAAAAAACGGACTATTCCCCAGTTTTAAAAGAGAATTTCTATGAAGGAATGGATTCCCAATTTACAAGCAAAATGTTGATTTGATAAATTGTGTTCTCTTTCAATCAAATCCGACAGTGTTCCTAATAACAGCGAAGATAAACTAAATTGCGTTGGTAAAGAAAGTAGCATCGATAAATAAATGAACAATTCATTTTTCTTTCAGTTCGAGGAATATCAATGGGAAGGTAAAATCCAACGAGAAAATTTAAGGCACACCTAAAGTCGAAACTAATATATCACACGAGTCATAAGAACATACAATTTCCTTCGACAGATGCAAGTAAAAGAGGGTTAAGAGCAATCGATAAAACCTTTTAAGCTGCTGTTTTCAGAGAAAACATAATATTTGCTGGAATTAGAAGCAGTTTTACTCAATAGAACAAATATTGGAATAGGTACTAACAATTACTCAAATTGATACTTGAGGAGAGAATATTTTTGTCAAGAAAGTCAGTCAACTTATAAGCGATCACTGTAAAAATTGCACTTGGGCAGTTAATGAGCCTCTTTTTTTATTAAACTTCAACTGGGTAAAGCTAGTGAACAAGTTAATAAATATGAACTAGCAGGTAATTTTCTCGTTGAGAGCACAATGCCATTTTTACGCGTTTACCGTAAATAAAATATAAAACCTACAACAGCGCATCGCTCCCTTGATGCTGGCAGATGCAACATTTCGTTAAAAATATCTTCAATATCACTAATTTACACACTTAGCAGTAGACGTCCTGATGTAAAAGGAAGTCCATTCATGTCCGTGGTTTCGGTGTAATGCTAGGTTTGGTATCAGATGTTCTACGGGCGGAAGATACTCTGGCAGGCACGGTCGTCTTGCTCTCTTGCGCAGGAGGAGTGCCCGCTACTTCCTTCTCGAATTTCTGCTGCAAAGACGCAACATTCGAGCTTCCTACGCTCTTGCCTCCGTAAGCTGTGTTGTTGCGAACGGCAGGTCGTCGAGCACTGGAGCGCGCGGCACTAGTACTACTACTACTCAAACTAGGCTTTTTACCTTCTTTTGTGTCGGATGTCTCTGCAGATGAGGCTGTAAATTTAGTTCTAGAGCCGCTATTTTTACTATTTGATGCCAAGTTACCCTTTTCTATACTCACCGGTCCCTTTCCACCTGATGATCGGGTTGGGGACAGGACGCGCGAGGGCTTGCTACTCGCTTCGTTAGTTTTTGGAGGAGATACAGTGGTGAATTTATTTCGGGCAGTCGTATTTTTACCTTTACTTGCGCTGCTATTTCGGCCCGCAACTTTTATAACGCTACTGTTAGGTGAAATAGCCCCTGCATCGCTTTTTGAGGCTTTTGTGTCTAATTTATCAGGGGGAAAAAGGACTTTATCTGGAGGAAACTCCGGGCGTTGTACTTTAACACGGACAGATGTAGAAGGAATATTTGAATTACTAGTAAAATTATTCGTGTTCTCAGTGGATGAAAGACTTTTGTCAGGGGTATCACCGGGCTCACTTGATTGACTAGATAAAACATGATTTATACTGGGATCAGATGGTTTGTCCCCAACTTTACTGCCAGGAATATCTGGCGTTTTCTCTCCGGCAGCAGAGGCTTCTTTTAGCACAGACTTAACAGGCGATAATAACGGATCAGAAAGCTCCACAGTAGGTTTTGGTGTCGTAATACCAGGTTTCTTCCCAGAAAAATTAGAGGAAAGAGGAATACCAGTTTCTGTTGAACTTTGCTCAACAACTGCTCTATTTCCTACATTGAGTTGTTTCGATGCCGCTCTGACAGCAGCTAACGACGATTCAAGCCGCTGATTTGCTGGAAGACCTTTAGCGGTAGGAACAACAGATCCTCCCGACATGATTTGTGTCGTTATAGTAGTGTTGCTCACAGCAGTTATAGGACTTTTGAGGTCTGGTGACGCCATTTCATTCATCTCACCAGTGTTTACTACAATCGTGTTATCTTTATCGTCAGGTATGCTACGCTTCAAGTATGATAAAACTCCGCCAGCTTTGGTCAAAATTTTAGGACTATCATTTTCATTAGAATGACTAGAACCAAGAGCCTGTGGCTTTTCATTAGAATGAGACCTCCATGGATAGCCTCTGCTGCGACTTACTTGATTTGAGCTCGTAGTATCAACTATTGGTAGAGGTGTGCTATCAACTAGAGGGTCAGATTTATTAGAAGTAAGGCTCACGGTATTTTTGTCCTGAATAAAGGCACCACATTTATCATCAACAGTCTTCGATTTTTTGCGGCTAACGAGAGCGTTTCGGAAATCAGGTTCTCTCGTGACGAGCTCGCTGACAATTTCCGAGAGCAGACCTCCGTCTTCTGAGCTGCCGCAACTCGCCCGGTCTGGAGGCGTGAGAGAAGAAGAGCGGCTAGGTGGAGACGAAGCATCCTTGCTTGTATTTACTTCATCAATGCTGCCAATATTAGAATATAGAGGCTCCTCAACACTCTCTTTTTTCTTTCTCTTAGTTTTGCCATACAAGAATGAGAAAACAGACTTCTTAGCCGGTTGGTCGTTGGCAGGGATAATGGCACTGCTGTTGGCATAAAATGGTTCAGGCTCAGAAGGTGGATCGGAGTCTACAGTTTTAGATTCAACAGAGGTTACATTTTCAGGGGAAGTTCCCTCTTCAATAGTGGCATAAATGCTCTCTGTTGGAGACGTCGTGCCTTCTCCTAGCGACGTAATATGAGTTGTATTGTTAAAGCTTTCAACACAGTCATCATAAACATCCTCCGATCCCGGTGAAGGGATCGTGGGCAGCGGAGGGCGGGGAGGAGGGTCAGAAGGGCGAGCGGGTGGAAGACTTTTAGGCCGAGGAGTTCGCATTGATCCAAATTTAGGGATGGAAGGCCGAAGGGTAACTGGAGGTTCTCGCATACTTCCAATTCTATGGATGTCGGATGAATGCGCCGAAGTTTTTTCGGAGGAATTTACGGATGGCGCCCATGTAACTTTAGGAGATTTGCAACCGTCTTTCGTTGTCACATCAATTACAGTCGATGGTGGTTCAGGTGCAACACGAACCGGGACTAGATTTTCTGGTAATTTTGTAGCCTGAAGTTGCATAGGAGCAGATATTTCAAGCTGCATTAAACTTTCTCTATTGATTTTAGATGCTTTACGGGGCAATGTACTACACCGATTGGCATCTCTATCATCCTCATTTGTTTCTTCTGCGCTCTTATCTTTTTTGTTAAGGAAAGAAGCAATTTTTGACGCAGTTGAAGAAGAAGATTTTGAAGAATTTGCAGAAGGAGCAGTAGCAGGGCGTGAGATGATTACAGAGTTCTGGTCAGGGACCGAGAGCGGCCGAGGAGCTGCTGAGTGAGTACGACGCGAAGGGTTTACCACAGCCACTGGAGGAGGGGAAGAAGGATGAGATGGAGGAGGGGGAAGAGTCTTGGGCAAACAAGGCACTTGGCCGACCGGCTGTACAGCCCGATTCGTGGAAGCTTGCAGACTAGGATTACTGATCACAATTTTGGCTGGAGTAGATGGTGCTTGGCGCACAGGCTGAGGCGGTACCACTGAAGTTTTCGATAAACCGTTTGGTACCACAATGGTCGTATGAGCACGGGAGGCTGTTTCTTCGGATAAACTATCAGCACCAATTGGGGAAATTGTAAAGCCTTGGTGCTTTCCGAAGAACTTCACATCAGCGCTAGTACCATTAGCACCAACTACTGGGATGTGAGGTGAAGTAATATTGGCGCTGCCGTTAAGCAGAGGACTGTTGCTTTTACTCTCACTAGAAGAAGTGGCGCTGGAGGAAATGCCGCCCGCGCTGGTCGAAGAAATACCTCTCGGAATACCAAGGCCGCCACGTCTACCAGACTCGGGATCGCGAGTTGGTAGCCTAGGAAAAAGAGTTATATTTTATACGACAGCTAAATAGTGAACTTAAGGAGAGGGAGTAAATTCAACTGTACGAGGAATGAAAATTTAACTCGACCTTACTTGAGATATCCGAATAAATAAATTTTTTTCACTCATAAAATTCGTCACCAGTAATATCTTGCTTTTCTGGGAAAGAGACAACACATCAAGAAATCTTAAGTTAAATTATTAGCTTCCTTGAGATTTAATTTCGAAGATAAACGAAATGCAAAGATATACCTTGATGATCCTGGGAGTCCCTTCTTCGTGAGCCAGAGTCCAATGACGCCAAGGTTGCCGCGGATGTAATAAACAACGCATATAGAGGCTACAGCCAACGGCACGACAGCGAAGAAGAATACTACAAGTCCCACTACAAACTTGTTCGTAGCTGCAAAAAAAATAACAAGTTTTAAAAACAAACTAACAACAAAGTGTGATTCAAATTACATATCGCAATTTAATTACATAGCACTACCGACGTATAAAATAAAAATTATAACTCAGTACTCACTGCAGTGAGTGACAGAGAGCGCATTTTCTCGTCGACGAAAACTTGAGGTCACGGACGGACGGACAGACAGACAGACGGACAGGGCGAGCACAATAGTGCATTTTTTCCATAAATGAGAACATGCGCTAAAAATATTCACATGTTAATACTTACATATCAATAATCTCATGTCAAAGGCAGTTATTGGGAGTGGATAATTTTCAATTTATCACTGAATATTACCAAAGAATATACCTCTGTCAATTACTCGTACTACTGTTTTTAAAATATTATTCTACTAACATTGATAGGAACAGAGGCGTGTCCAATACTCACAATTACACTCGTCCGTAATGTAAACCTCGAGCATCCATGATGGAGAGGGAATATTTTATCATTTCTAATGAGATAAAAAAAACTGTACTTCACCATGCGGATTGCTGGCAGGCCCGCTGTCGATGGAGCCTCCAAAGCCAGGCTCTAAACAATCAGGCGGAGAGAAGCCCAGAGCGCAGTGGCAGTGACCGAGGTTGTTGCACGCGCCGTTGCCATTGCATGAGCAACCTTCACGCCGCAGGGATGCGACCGACATGCACACTTGGTTTACACACATCTGTAACACAATATACTGCCTTCAGAAGATATGAGATAAAATCCACATAAATGTAAATTATACAATATTTGTTCATTTGCTATAGTGTCATATATTACAAAACTGCCACAAGACGAAGAACCCCAAAACGCAGTAAAGATACGTGCAAGTGTAAATAGAATCACGACACAGAATGTGTCATTTTGCTAAAAATTTGTAAAGACAATGTGTGTCACAAAATATGTTCCGTGGTGCATCACTGAGCACTAAATTAAATTATATCATCGATGGTGATAATTTTGAGCACTGACCTTCTGGTATCCACATTTAGCGCCGTCCGGGGCCAGTCCTGGGTCGACCATATCCAACCCCAGGTCGACCTGTGCCACCCTGCACGGGATGATCTCGCGCTCGTTGCCCTGGATGAAGCGATGCGACACTTTGCTCACGCTCTCCATGCCGAACTCGAGCCGCTCGTTGTAATGTTTGCAGTGCATCATCCCACACTTGCGGTTACTGAGAAAACAATGAAAACCGCCCATTAAAAGGCGCAATGTAAACCAAATTACGCTCTTTGGGGAGCAGCCGATGCAGTATTTGTCTCATTAAAATTTAATTATACTCTATTCAAGTTTCACAATTGAACGATATAAAAGCGAAATTATGATATCTGCAGGATTATTCCTAATTTGCACCGATAACTTACCCAGTGGAACATTTGAAGTAGGTGTCATTGGCCCAGTTATAGCCACAATTGCCATTATTGTTGCCCTGGGTGTTGAGGCTGTAGCAGTCGTCATGGCTGTTCTGGCCCGTAGGGCCCCAGAGAAGCTGGCACTGCTGCTCGTGTGACCGGCACATGCCAGAGTGGCAGAAAGCCTTGCCAGCTTGACACTCGTGGCCGTCCTCTTGGAAGACGTCGTCGGGGCAATACTCAGAGTCGCCTCGACAATATTCAGGCAAGTCGCACTCGCGATGAGCTGAACGACACTCCGTGCCGGCCTCTTTTGGGTGGCATGTCTAAAACATGCGTTATGTCAGTTAGTTAAGTCTAGAAAAATCATCATAGCCTCTAAATACTGGGGGGAAAATTGGTGCAGGCACCAAACTAAAGGCAGAAAAACGAACAACAGCACTAAGGCACAGCTGATGCATTGCCTATACAGTACATCAAGGCACTAAAGTATTGCCAGGATATGCGCAGAGGCCAAGACAGGGTAGCATCATGCGAAATTAGTAACAGTTATTACTACACAAACAGATATAGCTGTCCAATAAGATGATGAGTAGGAGAAAAAAGTCTGAACATCATCCTATAGTCTTGACAACTTCAATTCTAACAATCACAGTTGTAACCATTATATCGAATTGAGCAGTAAAGAATCATGATCAGAGAAATTTCTCAACAAGAATTGGAAGAAAGTATTCGAATGCACACAGATTTTGTCGCATGATTTTCTCCACTTATGAGGCCTCGGTAAAGCCTTTTTATTCACGTACGTGCAAGGTTAAAGAAAAACCAACCTGCAAATCACAGCATTGGCCCGTAGCACAGGTTGCATTGGAGTAGAGTTGACATGTGTGAGGATCACAGCAGGGGTTGTCGCAGTGCTGAGGAAGACCACAGTCACATTGTTCCCCAGGCTCGACAAACGAGTTGCCACACACGGGCGAATCGAACAGAGTCCTGGGTTTGTTGCGCAGGCAGTAGTCCATGGAGCGCTCGAAGGAAAGAGCCAAGTACTCGTGACTGCAGCTCGACCAATGGCTCGGGCTGCGAGATCTGACAAAGACATCAGGAAAATGCAAGCTGAATGATATTAGTTATAATGAGAGGACCAACACACTTTAACACGTTGACTCCGATTGCTTCATCTTGTACTATTATTTCATTTTTTGTAATATTTTGAAACAGAGACTGCCAGACGGGTTTTTTTGGACAAATTCCGCGATTTATTTTTTTTTTAATTGCAATCGCCGGCAAAAATTTATGATAGAGGTACTTCCTAATTAAATTTTAAAAACTGCAAAAAATAACTGGAATTTTTACACTTGGACCTAGAAATATAGGTACTAGTATATATTGAGTTATAGGACCTTTTTGGCTTTTTTGGTCGCGGATTTGGCCGTTTTTTAAGCAACCTGAATTATGTACCAATACGTCCTAGAATAATACAATTTCGTGGTACGCATGCGTACCACTTCGGAATCAACGTGTTGAAACATAAAAATGAACCAGGTACTGTACGCATTTCGATCGAGTCGGTTGACATTCGAATAACATTTGGAAGTCACTTGAGAAACGAGTCACTGCGAAAAGTTTACCATAAACATATCGTAATATTTCTTACGCTGTAAGTGTCAATAATAGAGTTGTTGCAGTAACTCGCTCAATATCAAACTTTAATCCACTGATAATTAATATAAGGTGCCTCCATAAGCAATACACCTCAATCTAAGGTAAGTTTCACTGAAAGAAAAAATAGTGAAACCGAACTTCTGAATATTAATTCAAGTTTATAAGTGCCAATGCATAATTTGGGCTTACTTCAATCACTGCCTTGATCAAACAGCCTCACGAACAATGGTAAATCGTGTACATTAATTTGGCATGCATTAGCACATGTACAGTTACGTCACATAGAACACTGGCCGATCTGGTGGCCTCGCCATACCCTGACGAAGGTGCCATGATGCAGCGGGAGTCAGGACACTTGCAGTCCTCCTCGGTGTCGTGCTCCATGCCGAAGTTGTGGCCCATCTCGTGCGCCACGGTCGTGGCCACGAGCCCAACACTGGCGCTGTGGTCCATGTTGACGCCACCGCTGTACTGGTAGGTGCAGATGGGGCCCTTTAGAGCCTTGCCCACCACGCCAGAGTCAAACACTTGGCCGCTGTTCAAACATTGCTTTCATTACTAATGCATAGATACACGAGCTTGATATATTTTAGGTGTAGCCAGTCACCAGAAAATATTCTTGCGTAAAAATCGAGATCAGTTCAGGCAAAACATCAAAAATATTAAGATGGATTGTTGGAAGGAAGTGAAAAATGAGAGTTTTTGAAATCTGAGATTGACTACAGAAAAAGTTTTGCTGGAAAAATGAGTCCCTTTCCTAACAGGAGGAATTTGTCGAAATCTTAGAAAATGTACATCTAGAAAAATTGAAACAAATATTTTAGGACAAAAATAGATCCCACATCGTGTTCATTTCCGCGTGCTTCTTGGTCAAATAATTCAAGACCGAAACATCAAAAAGAACGTCATTGATTGTTTATTCATTGGGGTTTTTGAATTCTTTGGTCGGATTCACTAAGTTTAGTTTGAATAAAAATGAATCACGATAGAAACATACAGAAAAATATTTTTCTAACATTTGTTTGAAAATATGAAAATTGACCAAAATGTAATTGGTATGCTGTCAAGTTATATGCTAGGTATGAAGAGTAATACAACGAATATAGTGGCGATGACACTGTAAGGCAATCAAGACTGACGTGAGGAGTTGAGCGTTGTCATTGGGATGGTCAGGAATGAGTCGCACTTTTCTATAGTTGAGGAAGTTAGTGAGGGTTAAATCCCCGTCTTGTGAGATGGCCACTTGATCTTCCTCTGCCCAGACCTCCACGCCGACGAGCGCAATGAAGATGTTCAGTGGCTGGTAGAGCTGAGGAGTGACGCCAAATCAATACCAAGTGTTTTATTCATACAATTAATTGCGACCAAAATAATGTGGCTCCATATCGATCAGGTGAAATAATCATGCACGTATTCCTAGATGGAAAATTAGGAGGATTAAATTATCTATTTCATTTTATACAATTAGAACAAAGAGTTCCAATTAAATAGCACACCTGAATTTTGTAAAGCCTAATAGTTAAATATAAAAATATACCCACCGCATTAGCGATATTAGCGATGTCCTTGAACCTCTTATGGATCTTCTGGACGTCCTCGCCGTGGTTCTTGTACTCGAGGTGGTCAGCTACGAGCACGAGCTCCACGTAGCGCGACAAGACGTTGCTGTTGTACGGGCCACGTATGCGACCACCGCCGTCGCTGGCAGGGCCGTCCTCCAGCCGGTTACCCGTCGACCGTTTGTACTGCCAATGACACATTAATTCAGCTTAGAAAATCCGATGAGAATAGATTTTGCTCAGTTGCCTTTCAGTTATTGGTACAGGTCATGGACATGAACGATGAAAATCTAAGTGATTTGACCGAATGAGATCAGATGAAATTTAAGGTTCACATCGTTAAAAAAAAGTTCTTGCTAATGAAATGCAAATTCTTTTCTATAATAGAATAGAAAGATAATACATTTAAATGATATTCGAAAAACTCGCAAGAGGGCAAGGTGCGAATTTTTTTTTTTTTTGGAATGCGATTTGTTTGGGTGCAGTTTATTTGCCGGCGTGCGTCAATACCTGCTTCTTCATAAATGTTTAGATTGTAATAAACTACCATAGAAACTTGACATCACTTAACTCGCGCTTGCGCAAAAACATTTACGCCATAATTGTGTTCGCATACATTTGTAAACCTGCAGAATCAACAATGAAATAGTGTTAAACCATGAAACATACATGCGTTAACAGGGCCACAGAGCGTCAAAGAATTTATAAAAGCTCACATTAACAAAGCTTAGGTGGCGATAAGAGGGTGAATGCTGAAATAAAATTTCACACAGAAATGGACTCTACGGTTAGACTTGACATTACGAAAGAGTCTTCTTGCATTTGAGGGTAAAATAGAATTCTCACCCTCAACATCCTGGCGAAATTATCGTCCTTGAAGAGCTCCAGCGAAGGATGTCGATGGCCGTTGTACCCTGCAAGTGCAAGACGGAAATTGCTGCTTGATCCGCATAAATGGCCGTGACACACGATGATAATTGAGTGGAAATTTGTCTTTCATACGTTGTTAAATTAGACGACTGAAACTAGGAACGTGCAACTGCACACGTAGAATAGTTAAAGCAAGTTATTAACGTCGATTCATACTAGAACCTAAATGGGGGAGATACGTCATTTAATTATAACAGGAATGATATGTAAGACGTGCATGCAAGAATAGACCGCCTTCAAATAAACAATATATACAAAGAAAGTTCAAAGATTCATAATTACCATATCCTTAAGCATGAAGTTTTTCTCAGAATACAATAATTACACTTTAAAGTCACATTTTTGTTACATTCAAATGCTCAATACTTTTTTTTCATCTTGACCTAACCTTGCCTTCCGAAATCCTGCCGTTGATTGGCAAAGTGAACCCTTGATTCCACTTTTACTACTATTGTGTGTCGACAATTTAAAGCTATCATGAGCCGTAGAGACGCAACACAGGAGAGGCTGTCCCCACATACCACACGTAAGGTTGCGAGGCACGAGATGCTTGTGGCTCAGCAGGAAGTGCGGACTGGAAAGCGAAGGTTTGGACTCCGGCACTCGTTCGATGTAGTGAGTTTCTTCTCCGTCAAACACCATCCCGCTATAACAAAACACACGAGTTAAAAAATACAGATAATAAACGGGCGCTTATACGTGTATCGAGATAACAAAAATGACAGTAATGGTCGCAGTAGTGCCGAAAAATTAGTGAAATTACTGACACCTGCTTGACAAAATAATGCAATCACAATAAATTACGACATTAATACGGAAAATTACGAGTAGTTTTACGATAAGCCTCTAATTTCCACGTATGTAAAATAAACAAAATAATTATGAATATGATGATATCAGTTCTTGCGCAGTGGAAATAACTCGAATAACAGTAGTCGTGATTTAACTGCAATTAATACTCAAGTTGATAATGGCAGCAATTCTCAATAATGAGAACTCTATGACCATCATGGTCTCTAATGAGTAATGACCTGCGCTAACTATCACCATAAACTAATTAATATGATATTATAAAGAAAAAACCCCTCCCTTATTACAACTCGTATCACTTTATCACGTTATCAGGCAGCTTTTTTTCCGACTACTTCGATCTTCTTAATTCAAGGTTTACACAAAGTGAGCGTTCTCATTTATTGAAGTATTTCTCGTGCTTCTACACCACGGCAAACCAATCCAGTAACATTTTTGTCGCCGCATTAGGCGGGTTTCGAGTTCATTCCTCGTACACTAAAGTAAGCGGGCCATAATATTGCTTACAAAATATGTCATTGAATGGTGGCCTGTCGCCTGCCTTGACCAGAGGCCCCACTTATCTCTTGCTCTTAATATGGAAATACCAAAAGTTTTTATTTACAAATAATAACACCCAATTCACGTGCCAGTTATCATCGAGTTAGTTTAGTGGCCAAATGTTTACTAGCGCTTCAGCTATTTAGCTATCTCGCACCGAAAGTCAAGATGAACATCACCATAGAGGTGGAAGGTCTCAATTATTCATCACCCACAAGGGGCGGAAGGTCTCAGTTGTCCAGCCCGCTGAAGCTGGCTCGAAAGAAGCAGCGTTAGCATCTCAAAGAGACGATACACCGCGAGCTCAGCGGTGGGGCGCTCAGGAACAATCCCCCTAGGAGCGCGAAATCCCATAGGACTTCTGACGAGCACAGACACCCGTCAGAAGCCCCCCTTGAGGGACAGTTATCATCGAGATTTTACAATCATCATGCAGGTGATGTTCAAGTAATTTTAGCCATCAAGTGACAACATCAAGTAATAATAGTAATCAAATATTTAGATATCTAGTAATAATATAAATAGTAATTTTAGACATCAAGTAATAGATATTAATTAGAAGACGACTAGTTGGTAAGAGTGACGCAAGAGACACGACTTCATGAGTTGAATGAAGCAACACATGTCAGCAGCAGCAAGACTCTCACCTCAGACCGTGACAGGTCGACACCGCAGCCCGCGAGCCTGGTCTGCCCCTGATGCTGCCTTGGTAGTGGCATAGTCCAGCGTCCTGTGGGGCACGATAATATAACTGCATGGCGTATGAACGACATTACTCTCAATGTTCTGTTCTGACTGTTGTTCTCTCAAGAATGTGTCATTCATTACTCTCAATGTTCTGTTATGACTATTGTTCTCTCAAGAATGTGTCATTCATTACTGTCAATGTTCTGTTCTGACTCTTGTTCTCTCAAGAATGTGTCATTCATTACTCTCAATGTTCTGTTCTGACTCTTGTTCTCTCAAGAATGTGTCATTCATTACTCTCAATGCTCTGTTCTGACTCTTTTTCTCTTGTGACTCTTGATTGGAGTATGTGTCGTTAAGCTCACATCTCTCACATTCCTTATTTACTTTGAGTTCCAGATGTTATGCTAAGCCTTTTGTTAGTTCTTTACTTGATGCGAGACTATACTCAGTGCTTCGATACCATAAGAAAAGAGATAATTTTTAACTCTCATTGGAAATCAGGCATGATAATAAGATTAGACTAGACGTCGCTGACAAATTAGGAGTTCTACCATATCCCGGAATTAACATATTTCTAACGGGATAATATGCTAGTTAATCTTTCATATAATACCTGAATAATGGTAATAACAAATTGTGTGATTTAGGCAAGTATGCTGATGCTACAAGCATGAACATGAATATACAGTCATTAGCATACCTATGCTTGTTCGTTCATCTGCTACTTTGCAGAGCTCATGATGAAGTAAGAATGAATTAATTAAATTAATTCCTTTTTGTTGGAATGGTGAGTATGGGAGGCCTTTAAAAAAAGTAAAGCATGCCAATCGAGTGACAGCTAATTCAACATTAAATGTAAGCTTCCGTACACTACTGGCGTTTGTCAAAGTCACTTTATTATTCGTTCGAATCCTGAATAAATCGGCGTTAATTACAGTGCATATTTTCATATCGTGAAAAGCGTGCAAGCCATGTCGCTAGAAAATGCATCTTACGAAGGGTCTTGCGTTCGAACTTGGGGCAGATTGTTCAGGAAATGAAATGTATCGTGATAATTTTCAAAATTGTGACACAAAGTTATGGCGTACAAGCTTGACCTAAAAAGCACCCAAAACACCGTCATCTTCTAGGTTTCAGATTGAGGTAGTAGTTTCACAGGCATGGTATTTGGCATGATAAATATTCCTAAATTTCTGTTCTCTCTAATAGCTACATTGTCAGTCAAAGCTGAGCTCTTCTACCGCTTTTCCCATTTCAAACATATTATTCCAGCTTGAGCCGAAGTTGCTACGAGCAAGAAGGGATATGATGTCAGCCTCACCTGGCCTTGAGGGCGCCTAATGGAGTGTGAGCCGTTACGATAGAGCTGCTTCTCGAAGTACCCCTGCGGCAACAATTGTCTGTAAAATGAGAAGATATCAACAAAACCGAATAAAAATTGTCATTAAGTAGGTCTTGCAAGTATAATATCTTTTATGCAACTAATATTTCTTCAACACAAGAACCTGCTGTTTGTTAATAAATTCAAATTTGACAATCTGAGAGGAAAAAATTATCGTCAGGAACGCCCTTAAATAACGCAAGAAGAAAACTGTCTTTTTATATTTACTGTCAGATGCATTCAAGAGAATTAATCACTACTGCATCAGTCCGAGGTTTGAGTGCAAGGTAGATTGCACACTTCAAGAAGAATAACCGTAGCACATAAATAAAGGCATTTTTTGACCGAACATAGAAAATTGTTTAAGGTACAACTTATACCCGGAACTCTGACAATTCTCAAATTACTTATGCAATTAAACATCGCCATAAGAAATTGTTAACAACGATGGATTACTTGTAAACTAAGCGGACCTGTTGAGCTGGAGGTCCATCAGTATGTTCTCTCCATTGATGGCGAAACCGAGTGTAATGTCATGGTGGTGCTCCTGGAGCTGTCGTACAAAAATGAGCATTACCGCGTGCTTATCCAACTTAAAATTCACAGGCATACGATGTGTCTAAAAATTAAGCCCTGCTTCTAGGTGCAGTGATACGAGTTTCAATTTATTTGTTCGGTAAAACTTACATTAATTAGTATACGATGTGTTCTATTAGTATATGCTGGCAAAATTTGTTCCTTTAAGCAGGTTTCATTGAAGACCAGAGAATTTGTTTTAGCTCATGTGTTCTAAGTGCATGATGCTCCTCCTGCAGAAGATAAAAAACCAACAGAGAGATATTAGCGCCAAAGAAACTTGCAATAATTTGACACCTCTGGCAGTTGATGGTACAAACTAAAATAAATCAGGCTACTCAACTAGTAATTTAACAGTCAAAGCTAGGGTGTGCTCAATCCAAGATTCTGTACATAGTAGTCAGCAGCTTGGACTAGTCGTGTTCCTCACTGATACAAAATCAGGATTAAAAATCCAAGAGAAACTGGACTGAGTGTGACGTACATAGTTGACCATTTGTTTATCTTGTCCAGTTTTTCTTGTACGACTTGAGATACAGAACTGTACTACGGAAAAATAAGTAGTTTAGGTTTGCTAAAAATTTTCAAACATCTCATCTTGCACCGGGCAAACTAAAAATTTTTCAAAGTAACGATTCAAGGCCGAAAAAATTCCTACATCAGGCCAGCAAGTCATTTCATTGGAAAATTGTTCATTGGATCCTCTTCAAACGATCGCATGAGACTAAATGACTCCAGCATACGGTAATTACAGCAAATGCCACCCAGATACTGCTGATAAAGAGGGTTCATTTCCTAAGTTAATTCTCTTAATGGGGCCGTGCAGGGCGCAGCCATTCACGTAACAGGCAAACAAATTTGACTAACCGGCCTCAATGCGGGGCTTTTCTCATATAACATGAATTTACTTTGAAGAAGAGGATATTAAACGACACGACTCATAGCCTGTAATGAAGAATAAATTAAACATAATCAACGAGACTGCGTTAAAAATGAAGATTTGCAGAAAGGATAACGGTGAAAATATTAAAATCGGGCAGGCTTAGGCTGAACGTATGCTCCAGTTGACAATGTTGTCCACAACTTTAATTATGCTTATTTAAGTACTAAATTTCACTGTAAAGCAATAAGTTTCGCCAAGCGTATTCTCGATCTCTTTTTGGTTTCGATCTCTTCATGGGCACAGTAGCTGAGATAAACAAGTAACCACAAAAATATACAATCATTAGAAATTAGAAAGCACGAAGCCCAATTAAACAGAGTTCGCAATATACACTGACGGTTAGCAGCGCCTCACCTCGGGATGCCAGGTCGAGTCTTGAATCTGACGTCTGGTCCTGGCGTGGACCACGTCTGGGGTGAACACCACGTGCTCCTGGAACTCCTCGTGTGGTGACGCCACGCGAGAACTGATCGATCTTGCTGTAGGGGACAAGGTCGATGACGATACAGGTAGGGACGATGACATCGCTGACGATACAGGTAGGGACGATGACATCGCTGACGATACAGGTAGGGACGATGACATCGCTGACGATACAGGTAGGGATGATGACATCGCTGACGATACATGTGTTGAGGCATTTGACGAATATGACGTAGAGGCCGGCGACGAAGTGGGAGATGAAATGGGCAACGGCTCAAAAGCAGTTGGATATTGTTTAAATGATGACAGAATTACATCATCATCTGAAGTTCGCAATGACAATAAGCTTGGTAATGATGAATGTGTATTGTCAGATACAGTATGTAATGATGTCTTCATCTGCTCTGATGATAGCGGTAAAAGAGCAGACGGGCTAATTGACTGCGAAGCAGTGATAAATGAGGATGCGTTAGATGAGGAAGATACGAGCAATGAGTTGTTTATCACAGTAAGCCCACTCGAGGAGCGTGGAGCAGAATCGACTTCTGCGGGTACAACCCTCAAAAACGAGGGAACATCTTCAGCTGCTGTTGAGGAGGGACGTTGCTGAGGAGGATGAGGCTCACTATGAGGAAACGAAGGGCTATTGCCCTCGCCTCCCTCGAGATTTCTTCCCGTCAATGTGGAGGAGCTGCCAGGGAGAGAGTTGTCCCTCTGTCGTAGTGACGGAACCTCACCATCTGAAAAACCAGAATAATTATCTTCTAGTCAATCCAAATAAGCAACAAATAACCATTGAAAATCATACTTTCCATTCCAGCTAACTTTGATCTCAACTGAAACACTGCTTGGCAAACAAACAACGGCGTCACACGCACCAACGTCTCAAACATCAGCGTACACCAGACATTTCCTCTTCCTCGTGTCCCTCACGCGGCATGACGCAGTGAGCTATTGTTTAAATTCCAATTGTAAGCTCTCAAAGACACTCTTTCTCTTTAATCTTTCTACTTTAACCATCAGCACATTGTATACGAGACTACTATAACAGATATTAAGCTAAAAAAATCCCACAAAATTACAAATGTATAATAGACCCTATAATTATTGGTCATATCAGACCGTAGACGAGACTATAATGTTGAGAGGGTAAGAACATATTCCCCGGGTATTGGCTATATGTCTAATAACAATGATATTCCAATGCTGCCTGCTTATTGAGACACCAGTGAGACACCACGCAGTATTTCTATCTCTTTTAGATTATTTGTGTTCACACGAAAGGTTGATTATTAAATAAAACAAATCAATGAACAAAAATTATATTCATGAAAAACATATATCTTCTTGAACAAACGATAAAAAAGTGCAATAATTCTAACTGCAGCTCTAACTTCCGTAATAAGGGAATAGTGGTTCAATCCGGATACGCGGGGAACGTGTTAAACACCAACAGAATGAAGCTAAGCAATATCGTGTGTTCATTAGGTCCCGAATTACATAGCCAGAGCGCGGCACGCAGGATCTGGTCGGAGTTAACCATCATGTGCTGATAAGCCCGCCTCCATAATTCAATACCATCGTGATCTGCCTACGATAACACTAGATCTTCGCATGAAGGTAGCATTTTAATGTAAAAATTCGCAATGTTAGCAACTTCCTACTTGGAAAATTTTAATTGGGTTAAAATTTAAACGCCATACTTTATTAATTGGATCGCGAAATCGCACGATTTACGTGATACATTAATAGTGCGACAAGTGCTAATTTAGAAATTATATTTAAACCAGTGTACGAAAACTTTAATGGAATGCAGCCACGTATGAACACCAAATACAAAGTTATTGTAGCAGGCATAGAATAGAGCAGGCCTAAAAAGAAGTAAAGAGCAGGGATGGATACGAGAGTGAGAGACAATTACGGGCTCATCATGAACTAAGCAGACCCAACAAGGCAATGTTAACTGAATAAGTATATAATACCCGAGTTGTGGACTGAATGCTGACAATCTTTTAAATTCCCGAGACGCACGCAAGCTGATACGAACTTTAAAGAAGTGAGCTCGCAAGAGAGAAAATATGCACATGCCACACATGCTACTGATGGGTTGTCTACATTGAGATGCGACAGTGTCATTGAAATGTCAATAATAATGAAACGCTGCACTAATACAGTCTTGGTTGGAACAGGTCACACTATACTAGAACTGCTCACACCGTTAACAGGCGGCTCGTGGGGTAATAAACTATTATTCTTTTCGCATTAAACTAATTCTTTAGGCCTTCATAAACGTTGAGATCAAATTAGGCTGAGTTAGGTCGTAATTCTGATCTCACACTATTTTCTGACTATTACTTTGGCCGAATAGAAGTTTCTTTGTGGCAATGTATAAGCTAAGTGTACTTTTCAAAGTGTGATAACTTCACATGCTGAAATGAAGCGCTATAGGCAAGAAATCCCTACGAAGATCTTCAGTCTATCTCAGGATGCGAAGTCTTAACCTGGCGCGGCGAAATGTGTTTGGTTGGGCGATATGAGACGAAAGGCGAGGAAAGCTAACTTTTATTATTGACTGTCATGACTTGTTGACCTATACATATGAATTAGCAGTCATTGCTTAGGAGGTGTTAATGCATTAGGTGGTCGGCTGGCTTCGAGAAGTTTCTTCTGTGAAGAATGATACACCGCAATGATATACAGCACGTCGTAGCCATGCAAGTAGTTGCAAAGGTCTAAATTTCACTAGCACACACTGGTTCATCAGCTCAAAGGCTGGAATCTAAATCACATATCACGGTACACGTTGCGAACAGTTTCACACTTGTAAATGTCTCGCAAGTTCAACTGATGATATCTATAGTGATGCATTAATTTCAACTAAGTGGCTGGAATTAACCAACTATAGGCTCGAAAATGGATTTCGGCCGTTACCATGATTATGAGTTTTGAGTGCCTTCAAGTCCCTTGTTATGTTGTTTCAGTTTTACTTGCCATTTTCAAGCATTTTCAAGCTGCTTTTGATGTCATTTTAGTCTCTTACCCAGTTGTTAGATTCGACATGAGACATTGTGCTGAAATTGTGAGACATTGTGTTTTCGTTCATTGTGTTAGATTCGACATAAAACAGCAAAATGAACGAAACGAAATTTGCTACCAAGAATTGAAGCCCAATAGCAAGTGTCTTGCCGCTCTTGCGGCTTTGTCATTCATTTTTTAGCGCATTTTCTCATTTATGGAAAAAATGCACTATTGTGCTCGCCATGTCCATCTGTCTGTCTGTCCGTCCGTCCGCCCATCTGTCCGTGACCTCAAGTTTTCGTCGACGAGAAAATGCGCTCTCTGTCATTCACTGCAGTGAGTACGGAGTTACATTTTTTCATAATTGACTTCCCCAGCATCACAATCTTTCGCACAAAGAAAGAACAAAATTAATAATTAAACGAGATGGAAAAAATAAATAGATGCAAAAGCTTTTAGATCATTTAAGATTTCAAACAGTGCAGTCTCATGTTCCCTTCAGTTACTCGCATGCTGGAGCTGCATGTTCTATTGAAAATTATTGTGAATACACACTAGAATTGTTTAAAAAGAATTTTCTAACAGAAATGTCAAAAAAATTATAAAATTTCTGGACAAGTTAGCAAAATTTTTGTGTTTTCCAATTACATTTTTGCGTGTCCAATTACATTTTACAAAAAGTCACTGTTCTTTGTGAAAAACAATGTTCTTCTGAAATGAACATATTTTTAGAAATGGGATAAGGCAGATTGTGATGATGATTCATACTCTGAACATGATTCAGAACATGTAAAATATAACAGGGCAATTATAAAAGCGTTCTCAAACTATTAATAGATAATTCACCTAAATAAAGAAAAATAACACACACACCTTAGCTAAGAATTTATATGCCACTGCAGCTGGGACTCACTTATAATATATAGTGAGAATGGTCGTAGACCATGTCAAGAATAAATATACGCAAGATTTAAGCGAGTTCCGCGTGTGCTCAAAAGCAATAACTCAATCATAACTGTATTGACAAATGCTAATTATGAATTGACAACCGCATCCAGTTAATTAATGAACTGGCAACGCACCAGGAAGATACACAGATGACGTAACAGATGAGATGCATAACATGAAGTATGACCTCGGAATGTCCCTGTTTGTTTAGAAAATATGATCAGACCGCTATCGACCACACGGTGCTCACATCCAGGAAATTACTTGGCAAAAATGCAAAAATCATTTCTCTGCAGATGGAGAAATTGAAGTTAATTACGCAGTTGTTCGCACATAGGAAAGATTCAAGTTAAGAAGTGCAACATGCTCGGCAACGGTATGGAGAAAAGTGATAGCAATTAAGCTTTAACCTATATAAAATACATAAAAATAACTTTTTTAAAAAACTACGTTTTTTTCTTGTGGACTAGAAAGTAGAATATAAATTATGGCCCGCCCCAAAAAACGTGTGTCGGGCAGATTTGTGATTGAAGCTAAAAGCACACAACACACGAATTTTGGAAATTTGATGGTGAACGTACAGCCCGACACACGTTTTTTGGGGCGGGCCATAATTTATATTCTACTTTCTAGTCCACAAGAAAAAAACGTAGTTTTTTAAAAAAGTTATTTTTATGTATTTTATTTTCTACTTTTTAGTCCGTTGTTACACATGAAAAACGTTGTTGCGAGCCAATTTACTTAACTTGACGTACGTATCGATGATACGCAACGTCAGCGACTGCTCGTCTATAACGTGAGCGGCCGCACGTCTTACTATATATAAACTATATATAGTATATACGCCTGGAAACGTGCAACAAATTATTGATAACTGTATTGTTATCGGGAGCTGAGCTTCCCTAAAAGTTTCAAAACGCTAGCTAGTGGGAAAGTTGGTGAAATATCGATTGCAAGATTTGATCATCACAGACAGACAGACACGAAAGCGAGCTAAGAAAAACGTAGTAAAAAGAATAATTACGACAATTGGGATAACGGTACATGAGGAGGAGCGGCTGCAAGCGTGCAGATCTCACGCTGAGGTCTTCGAAGGAACGATCAGGTTATGCTTGATGTTTCATCGAGAACATGTGCGCTTCCTGAAACTATATGAACATCGCCGATTGAGAAGCAAATGTCAAGTAAAGATGCGATGAGAAATAATAACTATAATTACCGGTTATAATTTAAAATCGACAATAAGCCATATGGGCCAACGACACGTGGACTCGCCAACAGGCCATATAACGGTTACTTCTATGTAATGAACCGCTTTTTCTACTCAACGAGGAATTCTCCATCCATCAACATTATATGCTTTTATATTACACTTGATTTAATTTCAAAACGCATAGAACTACAAAGCTTTAGAAAAAGCTTCCTACTACACTTCCTGCTATTATGTTTTATTCTTCTGTCATCTGAAACTAAATACTCTGACGCAATGCATGACAAGATTGAATCATGAGCACACATGTTCATCATCGGTTCAAAGGACATTCCAATGCAAAAGTAACAGGAGTTTGACCAATAAAATTTCTAATGAAATATTGAACAAGGTTGGTTCATTATAAGTCAAGCAAACTAGGGTAAGAATCAATCCCAATATTTGTAACAATAGTATTTAGTAATTTAAAGATACTGTTTGTATATGTGTTGTTTTGTTTGCGTTGACACAAAACTTACTTGCTTTTAGTTTTTCAACCAAAGAGTAAAAGTGGCCTTAAAATGG